TACCCACAGTCTCGGTTCTGGCCGTTTGGAGTAAAACCAGGGGTTTGCATTATAATAACTTCCCTCAGCAATTCTTTGAGGCAAGAATGGTGACTCTTCATCTCACATATTTCAGGCATGTCAGCAGGGGCCGATCCTCGGAAAAGGGTATCGTGGTGTGGGAAGTAGAGGGTCAGAGAAAGAGAGGAAGCTCCCCAGCAAGATAGACCGAGACAGCGAGTGTACCGGTGAGCTTGAGCATGTTGGAGGTGGGGAGGATGGTGCAGCAGAGGGCAAAGTGGATGAGATCTGTTAAGTATTAAGTAGAAAGCAGTGCGGTGACTCCTGTCTGCCTGAGACTGGAATCTGGATCTGTGACTGTGGAGCCTGCATCTGTGCTGACGTGGTCTCTGACGAACTGGATAGAGGAGCAGGATGGTTGTTACTGTTGTAAAATGATTATCTTTGCGATGTAGGCTAACGATCATTTCTTTTTTAGTGAAATAAAACAAAGATGTCTAAGTCTGATTCTTTAGCTTTATCACCCAAATCTTTTGCCTATAATAGTCACAATTTCTTCTGTGAAAAAAATTACCAAGAATAGTTAGCATTTTCAAATGAAAATCTACACATTTTTAGTGTGAGTAAATCTGAATAATCTTATGTTTTGCTTATGTGTTCCCTGACTTTATAACATTCAAGACGGTTTGTTCAGAAATTCCTTAAAGGTTACAACTCCTTTTCCTTGCTACTTTCTATAGTCTTTCCTGTGTGAAACACGCCAGGGGTTCCTCCCTCTAATTAACTGTTTCTACCCAGTTTTAATACCAAGTCCTTTCTTTTTAAGTATTTGGTTTTAAAATAGTTGAAAACTTTCTAAAAAATTCATTTCCTTACTGTCAGATTTTATATCATTTTCTAGGTCACTCAAGGAAAAATAGAAGTCTCTTAGGGAAGAAATTGACTATACTTGTTCACTTTGAAAATAGAGAAAGAAACTTAAAAAAGTTGGGCAGGCTTTAAAGAAAAACCCTGGAGGTGTTCTATAACTTCCAGTTCTTTTGGAAGTATGACTAAACTGAAATCTGCATAGATTAGTATTCTATATTCCGTTCATTCCTTGTTGATGAAAAGTGTAGATGGAAGAAAGATTTTGGAATCCAACAGACTTTATAATCTACTGCTTTCTTCACAAGTACTCTCAACTTTATTTCTTGATAATTCTGAATTTCTTCACAAGTGTTGACATTAAACTAACTTTATAAGTTCTTTTGCTCTCACCTTCAAGGTTTTGTCTTTGGGGGTCAATCTTACCTTGAAATTCCTGCATCATTGCCAGTCTCCTTAATACCTTAGTACTCTCCCTCTCAGATATGCCTTCCCCAACATAAAGTGTCTGATTAGATTGGACCTCCTATTTGTTTCTGGAGCCCCATCTTAACTTCTCCTTCTCTGTAAAAGTAGTTTGGAGTTACAGACCACAAGGGCAAAAGACAGAGTATTCCCCTTTCTTTTATTATTACCAAAGTACTAGATGATTTAGCCTCAAATTTTTATAGCATAGTTGCTATAAACTGTTGTCATCTATAGTATAGATTATACAATCTTTAAGCAGTATGGATTAGCTCTTTATATAAAATACTGTGCTGTCTGGTCAATTCCAATGCACAGTGCTGTGCCCTGTAGTATTCAAGGCTGTAAATCTTTACAGAGCGTCTTTCTGCCAAGAAACAGCTGTTGAGTTCAACTGCCAAGCTTGTGGCTAGCAGCTAGCTGGGCTTTAGTTACTATGCCAGCAGTACTCCCTCACTCTGTATACTATTACTGTTTTTAGGTGCCATCAAGTCACACTTGTGACTCTGTGATCCTATGAACAACAGATCTGAACCTTGCTCTGTTCTGTTCCATCCTCTCTATCTGGGATATGCTTCAGCTGGGTGTTAAAGTCTTTGTATTAATCTATCTTGAGAATCTTCCTTTCTCTCTGAGCCTCCATCTTTCCCAGCATAATGTATACTGACAGGATAACATGTGTTACTGAGCACAGATCATAGAGCAGTATTCATAGCATCATCCTAGTCAAGTTTTAAAAAACCCCAATTTGTATGTGTTAGAAAAAATAATTAGAAAGAAGAAACTGGTCTTAAGAAATGAACAGGCCTTTATTAAGTGGTCTGAGAGGGATGCCAGATGTTTGCTCACAGACAGGGTCAGAGTGGCATACAGGCAGACAAAGAGAGTATCTTTTTTATAGATGCTGTTAAGGAGATTTAGAGGGGATGGTAGTGTGCTCAGGAATTTGGGAGCTGGGGTCCTGTCAATATGTGATCAGGCCCAGGGCCTTAATCAGGATATGGGCATTATCAGGTTTCTTCAAGGAATGATCAGACCTGGGGATTGGCCTGGGGAACTGGGACTGGGACATTCTTCCTCCAGTAAGTGCATCATAAAAGGTGTGGAAACCAACACTTGAAGCTTTTAGCAGAGGGATTACCTCTGATAAAGGAAACAGATTAAGTAGAGCCAGAGAGGTGATTTCTTTTTTCATAGGTCACATGAGTTGTGTAACATTTTTGTTTTCAAAACTAACATGCAAATTTTTTTTCTTTTTTTCTAAAAAAAAAAAAGATAAAAAATAGATTAGGGGAAGGATTCTAAGGATAGTATCCTCAGTGGTATGTTAACTAGTCTACAGGACAGTTTCAAAGCTGCCAGAAAACCTGGGATTTTTAAATTCTACTAGTTTGAACCATCCCAACAGTGCAAGATGGCTCTATGAATTTTGTTAGAAGGGTTAAACATAATTTCTTCCTAAAGTTACTTTTATGTCAATCTCAGAAACTAGCGTAATTTATAAAATCATTGAAAATTTATACCAGACATTTTAAAAGGAGTTATTTTTTTATTACTGTCTCCTTTATCCTTTTAAGCATTAAAATGTCTTAGTTTACACTAAGAGTTTAAATCTACAGTTAGGAATTTGTATCCTGGCTTTTGAATTCATAGGAATGGCAGTCCTTCAAATCTTTGCTAATTTAGAATGTGTTCTCTTTTAAAAAGCTTTTTCTTAGCTGAGTCTTTCCAGTTTTGTTTTTTTTTTTATGCTTTAGTCACATCCTCTTAGAATAACTTCCATATTTTTAAGTCAAACTGGTTGGGTTTGGGGAAGCAGGAACATTTGTGGTACCACTTGGCCATTGCTGTCTTAATAGAAGAGAGAGAGCGTGCGCGCCCACATCTGTCTTTCACCTTTTTTGTCCTGTTCTCTTTGTCCTCTACTCTGTTCTTTCTTGTACCTCTCCTCTCTCATCTCCTCACGTCCAGTCCATCTATGTAGATTCTATAGATGTTATATAGATATTATATAGTCTTCCTCTCCCCATATTTGTTGTCTGTCTGGTTTTTGCCTGTGAGCAACAATTAAACTGGAAAAATACTGAAAAGAATTTGCTGCAAGTCTGCCCAGAGTAGTGAAACTAATGTTTCTCTTAGCTGCAAATCCCACTGAATTTTAAGTTTTATTTCTATCTTATTCCTGAGCCACTGGACAGTATCTGAAAAAATTAACTATAAATAGCTAAATGTCGAGTAGGAATTATCTGTCTCTTGCTTCCAAGTTTTTACTTCATTTTCAAAGATAATGAGATTTTTCTCTTTTTTAAATTTTATTATTTTTGTGTGAGTGTACCGTCAAATCAGATCTGACTGGTACAGGAGGAGATTGTCCCTCCTTCCCCGGCAGAGCATCTGGTGGATTCGAACCATGCGCCTCTGGGATTGTAGTTACCCTTGCCACTAGGCCACCAGAGCTCCCCAAGATTTTTCTTAGTTTGATAAAGAGCTGATTCTGCCATTAGGTTTTTTGCTATTTTGTGTATTTTAGCTATTTTGTGAAATGAGAATGACTATCCTTGGATTTCTGGAGGCAGAGACTGCTTTAATTTTCATCTTCCCAGCCAGACCTAGGTGTTAATATTAAGTATTTGCAAGGATAACTGTTCCATCCTTAATTCTTAACTTTGTAACAGACATGTTGTGCAACAGACTGATCATTGGAAGATGTAGCTTTGTGATAACTTTACCTTTCCCAACGCAGAATATTGCTCACATTTAAAAAGCCCACTTAATGACTACTTGTATGATCTCTCTAAAGCCATGACAGTCTCCAGTTACAAAATCTATGTCGTTTATATAAGTGGAATATGATTGTTTTTATCATATGGGTGCTGTTATATTTGTATCCTAGCTTTTTAATACATCTTGATAATGTGATATTTTCCCAATTGTTGTGTTGTTGTGTACCATTGTGTTGTAGCTTACCCATAGCTGACCCTCCAGCGGTTTTCAGAGGCAGTTAATTGCCCATATGTTTAAATTAAAAATGAGTCCTTGGGGGAAAAAATTGCATGCTTTTTTAATGTAATTTTATGTAGATAGAAAAAACTACACATGCTTTAAAAATATTTAGTTATAATACCAGTGGTACCAATGAAAATCAACTCCTAAGGACAAATACTGCATAAGACCATTATTGTGATAATAGGATGATAGTTATCAAGATGTGTATAAAAAGTCCAAAAGGAAAACAGGGCTGAAAAGGAAGAAGATAGAAATCAGCAGGCTAGCAGAGTTTAGTGGGCTGATATGGGGAAAGGGAGAGGAATAGGAAAGATTCAATGGGGACTCAAAAAGGATTAATGAGAGGCATAGATCAGTAGTAATTATATACAGTACAGTGTATATGAATGAGTGTACGAAATACAATGTAAATGAAAGTATAAAACACAATGTATATAAATGAAACAATGTCTATGAATTAGTATATCAAACCAATTAAAACAATAATACAATGCCAAAAAAAACCAAATTACCAAAGATGATGTTTCATTGTAATCCTAATGTCTAACATCAAGCTGGGAATGTGTGAATAACTGAATTACCAAGAATCTTTAATTAATTATTTTCCTTCTTTTTTTTCCTTTTAGAATCACCAGTGGATGACTAGTGTAGTGTCTGGAAGTATCACTAGTAGTCGATAATGTTGGATACAACTTTCTGTGGTGTTCAGTTGTTAAAAACAAATAGGCTGAAAGTTTCTCAACTCCAGATTATGAAAATGGTACTTGGAAAACTGAAAACTATCTAAATGATTGTCTTTGGCTGGGCCGTGTTCTTAGCAAGCAGAAGCCTCGGCCAGGGTCTGCTGTTGACTCTTGAGGAGCACCTAGCCCACTTGCTGGGGACGAGAGGCACCATGGGCAATTCTTGCATCTGCCGAGATGACAGTGGAGCAGAAGACAGTGTGGACACTCAGCGGCAGCAGTCTGAGAACAGTGCAGCGCCCACTACTGATCCACGGAGCCACTCCAGGGACCCTGTGCGGCCACCAAGGAGAGGCCGAGGACCACATGAGCCACGGAGAAAGAAACAAAATGTAGATGGCTTGGTGCTGGACACACTGGCAGTGATACGAACTCTTGTAGATAAGTAAGTATCTGACTAGCAGTCATCTCCTTTAGGAAGAAAAGTATTCTACTAGGAACCTTGTCTTTTGGACTCCATCCACTTGCCGAATTCACCAAGCCTGGTGATCATGTAGAAAGACGAGTCGTGTCCTCCTGTTAAGATTCATAGCCTCGGAAATATGATGGAGGGTCACCATGAGTCAGAATCAACAACAATGAGTTTGTGTGTTTTACTCATACAACAAGGAGGAACACTTTCTTTGTCCTCTGATGGCCCAGTGAATACAGTTTTATATTTTCACTTGCTAACTCCTGTCTGAAAATGTCTAAAACATTTCTGTAGGAGATATTTCTACTCAAGTTCACATATTCATTAGAGGATATTTTGAAAATGCACTGATTGTTTTGTTAATTATGCTACATAAGAAATAGTTGTATGAAGACTCAGTGTCACTGTGCTTGCCTGTCTACTCCCCTGGGTAGATAGTCAGGAGCCATTGTTTACAAAGAGCGTGGCTGCACACAGCTTGTTGGCAGTCTGTAGATACAGATCAAGGAGAATTTTCATTCTCCTTTATTTCCCTTGCTCAACGCTTTTAGGTCTCTTTGGAAAGCTTCTAAGTTGAAACTGCAGGGCCCAGGTGTCCCTCTTTTGTTTACGCCTCCTTTGTCAAAAGCCCAGATTGAATAACAGTGAAATGAAAGAACATTGTTTGTGTTGAAAGGAGGCTTATTGGCACAATAGTTACAAAACTCAGATGCTGACCAAAAGGTTGGTGGGGATTTGAACCCACCACTCCTCAGGAGACTGCTATGGCTGTCTCTTTCCATTAAGATTACAGCCTTACTGTGGTCTGATAGAAACCCTTAAGAGTCATCCATCGAACTTGCAGTACAACTTTTAGCCAAACATAAGTCTAGATTATTGTTGTGTTTACTGTTGAGTCAAAAGCACCCCATAGCTACTGTTTTTAGAGACAGTAAATCATGTGGGAGGAGATTGCCCATTTTTCTCCCTATGGAGCAGCTGGTGGATTCAAACCTCATGCCTTTGGAATTGCAGCACAACTGTCTACCACGAGGCTTCCAGATCTCCCAGTAAGCATATAAGGTGACCAAATATATAAGATCAAAAGAACAGCATTTACCCAAGGTTAAAGCCACAGGTAGGATCACTCACTTACTCATTGTTAAGTCAGAACTGGAACCAGACCCAACTCATAGCTGTCCAACCCTCCTGCAGCTTTTCAGAGGCTGTAAATCCCCTGAGAGGAGATTGTCCATCTTTCTCCCTTGGAGTAGCTGGTGGATTTCAGCTACTTGTCTTTGAGTTGGCAGCACAACTCCCTAACAGAATAATGGAAATGAAAATTAGAAGGAGAAAGTGGGAAGACCATGATTATGTTGTGAATTCTCGTTAAAGTTATAAAACAAAATATTTATGAATGTTGTTGCTGTTGGTTGCCGTCCAGTTGAGTACAACTCATAGCGACCCTGTGAACAGGAGACCTATAACTATGGTCGTTTCTCTAAGTTCATAGAGTTTCCAGAGACATGTTGTTTAGGAAGTGGATGCTACTCCTGCTACCAAACGTGTCTTAAACTGGGAGAATAGTTGAATAAAAAAAACCAATTTTCTTTGTAAATTTTCACCCAGATTACACTAAAATAGCGTGGTGGTAATAATAATAAAAGACTTGGTAGGGAGAAGATTTGAAAAGCTGTGTGGCAGTTCTGTCTGTAGGGTTGCTGTGAGTCAATCGTTTTGATGGCAGTGGAGGTTTTTTGGTTCAAATTTTTAAAAAATTAATACAGTTGTATAGGTTAGTAGTTTGTAGCATAAGACTTAGAACCATGGTGGACCCAAGTTCAAAGTCTGGTGCAGCATCTTACTAGCCCCCCCCCCATACTTTTTTTAAAAAGTATTCTTTTTGCTTTAAACTTTACCTAGTGATTTTAAGTATATAAAATAACTGATAATCACACAGAAACCAGTTTTATTCAGCTAATCAAAAATTACATAATGAAGTAGAATATACCTGGGCATATTATTCTATGGTGATGTGTGGTTTCCCCCCCCTTTCATTATAGAAATGAATTTGTTTTGTACATCTGCATGTCTGTTTTGGTGCATGCTTGGGAAAAGTGATTCCTTCATTTATGTTCCATAACTATTTCAGAAAAGACTTCCCAAATTTATTAAAATTGGCCTTTGAAGACGTTCTAATATCCGAATTCTTTAAATATAATGTAGACTTAAAATTAATCGGAATTAACAAGATAGCAGCTGATTTGGATTTCTAGTGAGGGGTGGATATGCTTGTAGGAAAGATGTGTTGAATACTAACTTTATGTCATTAATATCCCCAAATGTCAACAAGGAGCTGGAAACTATTATCTATAACTTCTTAATGTAAACATTTAAAAAATAAACTGTATGGACTATATTAGATTCCTCCGTAAATATTGACTCTTGATGGTCTCCAGAAAGATAAAATTTAAAAAAAAACCACTGTTTTCTGCACTGCCAAATTGTAATAAAATCATTTCCTTCCCACATAAGGAAGTAAACCACAAAGAATGTTAATTTGAGCCCATTGGAAAAACAAGTGCAGAATCCTTGTTATGTTTCAAGAGAGTAGGGGCAAGGCAGGAGCTTTATTTTCAGACTTCAAAAAAGATTACAAATTTTGGGTGAACTTGTTGGTAAAAGACACAATTCCCTTATGTGCTATTTACTTTTACCTTAAACTAGTTTTTACTAAATTATAGATATAACTTTTCTGTGAATGGACAGACAAAGCCTATTTAGAGCAAAGGAAGAAAGGATGTGCTAAGAACACAGTGAACAACAAGTTAGAATTTAGGTAGCTTATAAATTATGCAAATACTTTTTTCTTTAAAAAGTTATTAAAAGAGATGAAGTCTGGTAACTTGAAGCATTCATAACTCAGCTGAAAACCAAACCCACTGCCAGAAATGGATTCCAAGTCCCGAGGTCCCTATAGGACAGAGAAGTGCCCCATAGGATTTCTCAGGTTGAAATCTTTATGGAAGCAGTTTGTTGTGTCGTTCTCCGGAGGAGCAGCTGATGTATTTGAACTGCCAACCTCTTGGTTAACAGCACTACACTTTAACTACTGCACTGTTCAAACCTGCTCAGTAACATGAAACAAAACGTATATGAATTGTTGAATAGAAAACTCATTTTGCTCTGTAAACTTTAACTAAATTTACAATAAAAATATTAAGAAGTTTAAAAAAAATACAACCCTGCAAAATTGTTAGATTTAGTAAAATTAATTACATTGAAATCAATGTATGCCAGTATAGTAGCTATAAAGTGATCTGTATTTTTTCTTTTTTCTTGTTAAAAAGGAAGACATTAATGTCTTCCTACTTAAAAAGGGAAGACAATCTGAGAAAAGGACAGTTTATAATGTCATAATGAGAGTACTTACCATAGGAATAAATTTTTTGTTATGGATTTCTAGTTTTATATTAATTTCTTTTGAAATTATTTGCCATATGCTTTTATATCATATTCTTTTTTTTTCATCTAAACAAAACTTTTTACCTTTATATTGTCTATTTTTAATCCTTCATACTTTCAATGTAAAGTCATTTATTTAGTTACCTCACTGAATATTGTTTCTGGTTTGAGTCCATTTCTCAGAACTATGTTCTGATTCATTTAATTTTCTGTTTAACAATGGCCCAGTGAAACTGTCTGTTGGATTTTTATTTCTGTCATTCCTATCTGTCTTTTTTTGTTTTAATTTCATCTCCTTCTATGGTTATTGGGGGTTTTTATCTCTGGAAATTACTAATAGGCAGTTATATCTCATTATTTGCAGATTCTGTATTTACAAATTCATCTGTTCACTAAAATTTATTTGTAACCCCAAAATCAATACTCATGGCGCTTTTGCAGTTATTCATGCCTACACAGAACTGCAGAAAATTGAGCCATCCCAGGTACATGGTCCCAGCCTCCTTGTTTCAACTCTTACTCTAAACAGTCTTTTCTGAGCTTGTTTTAGTGCCTGCTTTTATTTTATGCTTTTTGTTGGTGATTTTGATGTTTAACATGGTCCCCAAGCATAGTGTCACAATGCTGCTGTCTAGCGTTCTTAATTACAAGAAGGCTGTGAAAAAAAGCCTCACAGAGAAAATATGTGTTAAACTTCCTTTAAGGTATGAGTTGTGAGTGCTCATGACTGTGCTCAGTGTTAGTGAAGCAATAATATATATTACATAAGATGTCTTTAAAGAGAAACACATGCAAAACATGGTTGTGCATTGATCAGGTGAAAGTATTGGGACAGTACTTTCAGTACTTTGACCTTGAATTTTTCCCTCATATCAGTGGTTCTGTGTTAATTCAAGTGCTCCATAGCAGCCATCCAGAACCTAACTATCACAAGTTAATCAACTACACTTCTTTAAAACCACTTTAAAGTTTTGTTATTTTCAGAGTTTTTATGATGATTTTATCTTCAGCTTTTCTTTATGTCTGTTAATCTCATTACACTTTGGAACTTGACATTTCTAGACTCTTGTTGATAGAAGTTTTTTCTTTCATTTGCACCCTGCTCTTGTGATCACTCTGCCTTTATCTCCGCCACTCTCACTTTCTCTCCCTCCCTGTGCACATTTCTTCCTCAGTATCATCAGTATCAAACTTTTGCATCTGGGTTCCAGTCGCGCTATGAGAAACCCACATCCCTACTACAAGATTTTCTCTGGCTTTTTTGGTTACTCCCAACTTGTGATTTTATAGCAGTTATAACTCAGATTATCTTTCTTAATGCTTTTAGCTCCTATTACTGAGAGAGAAAGTCTGTCCAGCTTCTCTTTGTGGGTGTTACTCCTTCCCTTGCTCAAGTAGATTGGTCCCCATTACCCTGAAAGTGTAGACCTTCAGTTGCCACTGCTCAGTGCTTGACCCAGTAGTTTTTTAACGCCTGCCTCCAACCAGAAATTTCTGCTCAGTCTTTCTGTTCCATAAACGAGTTTATCTTGTTCTTTTAGTGTAGTAGTGTGTGTGCGTGTGTGTTTAAGAATCTTTAGAATTGGCTACTCATATATTTATGCTTTGTTATTACCTAATCATATATTTATGCTTTGTTATTGGCTACTCATATATTTATGCTTTGTTAGGTATTATAATATTTTATTATTTTTCCTTTTTTCTCCTAACTTTCTACTGGCCACCTCTGAATATTAGTAACTATTTTAGTGAATTCAAGGTAAATTGTTCTAATTAGCCTCCCATATATGTATTTCTGTCATGTAGGAATACATGCAGTGGTTTCTGTATAATTTTTAAAAATCCCTGTAACTGATAAATAAATGTTTTTAACTTCTCTCAACATTGTTTCTAACCTGTGTTGATGTTTACAAATTGACAACACAGCTTTTGTCAGTATTCCTTTGTATATGTGCATACCATATTTTCTTGTGCTTAATTTATTGCACTTTGCAGATACAGTATTTGTGACAAACTGAAGGTTTGTGGCAACTGTGTTGAGCAAGTCTCTATGCACCATTTTTCCAAAGCATGTGATAACATCATGTCTTGGTGTCAAATTTCAGTTAATTCTTGAAGCATTCCCAATCTTTTTCTAATGCTGTTGTACATTTAAAAGACTATAGCGTAGTTTGAACGTAAGCTCTCACGGCCTAGTGATTATATAACAGTTTCGCTACAAACCCTAAAGGCACAGCAGTTCAAACACATCAGCTGCTCCAAGGGAGAAAGATAAGCAGTTTCCTCCCATGCAGTTTACAGCCTAGAAGACTCACTGGGATGACACACAACAACTTCCATTAGCCCTCTATTGAGATTTTATGTCTTCCTGGAGTTCTTATAAGAGTAAGTATGAGGATGACAGCATTGACTTTCCCAATTTATCTCATCTGGTAAACCTGACAGTTGGATAGTCTCCCGTTTTAGTCTTGTGCTTTGTCCTGTGTCCACATGACAATCCTTCCTTGTTTTTATCCACTCATTATGTGCTACACAGAACATAACCTTAGAAAATGAGTGCTTATGTTCATTTGTCCCACCTCTTTTTTTTTAATGAAGGTTTACAAATCATACTAGTTTTTCATTCATTTATAAATGTCTTGTTTTATAACATTGATTATAATCGATGTCCTTAAAGGCTATGTTGTTGTTATGTGCCGTCAAATCAGAACCTACTCCTAGTCGACCCTTCTGTAAATTTTCGGAGGCAGTAAATCATATGGGAGATTGCGCGTCTTCCTCCTGTGGGACAGCTGGTAGGTTTGAACCGTGTGTCTTCTATCCAGTTCTAGTAGACCTCTCCTGTACTTCCGCCTTCATTCACTCCTCTTCATTTCTACCCACTTCACTTTTTCTACCCCCCATTTCCACCTTAAAGATGTATTTGGAATTGCCATTTATAACTTTCTCAGGTTTGATGTCTTGAATGTTTGTTTTACAGTGATCAGGAACCTCCCTACTCAATGATTACATTGCACGAAATGGCAGAAACAGGTATTTTAAAAGTTTAATTCTTTCTTATGGGTGATTGTGAGGAAATGCTACCGTCCTTTTCCTTCCCTCTCCCCCAGATAAAAGAAAATTCTTGAAAAATAATGGCATTAGTAGTAAATGACATTCAGAGTCATGGCCTGTTTTAAAATATGTGATTGAGGCTCGAATATGCTCTTTTTAAATGACTCTCATCATCTTTCTCTATGTTTGTTCTAACAGTAGGTGTACCTAGAAATCTAATTGGACTTTCCAGTTTCAGTACCTTTTTAGTCTCTCATTTTCCATGATACAGTCCACACTATAATTCTCTTTTCATCCAGGGGAGCCACAAAGATCTAGTTTTTTTCAGTATCCTTTAGTCCAGTAATGAATATCCTATAGTGTTTTTCACACAGCAAGCCAAAAGATCCCAGATACTTAACACATACAGCAAAGAGAAAGCCCTCAGTGTATGGGAATATACCTGTACAGGTATTGCATATTGCATCCTGAGGAGCTCTGGGGAGTGAGCTCTGTGGTCTAGTGGGAAGGCGCTGCACTGCTGTCCCAGAAGCTTATGGTTAGAATCCATCAGCGGCTCCTTGGGAGGAAAATGGGCAGTCTCCTCACATAAGGTTTACAGCCTCTAAAAACCAGCTGAAAGGTCAGCTATGAGTCAGTTCCAGCTTGACAGCATGTGACGCCACCACCATCCTCAATATACAGCTCTATCTCTCAGTGACAGGTATTATCTCTTTTGAAAGGATCAAAATGTTATTTTCCTTTTTTAAATTCACTTATCTTTGACCATAATTGTTCTAGTATAAGAAAGCTATCCCCCCTTTAATTTCTAAGCATCATTCTGAAAAGTCAACTGCGTCACACATTTAATCTTCTCAGCAGTTCATACGTAGTAGATAATGTGTATATTGTAGTAAATATTGTGTAAGTTGTATGCTCTTTCGATCATAATTTGAGAATCAAGACCACAGTTTAGACTTTTTCCAAATAAAGATCCCAAGAGTGAACAGATTAAATTGACTCCATCATGGTGATTAGTGATTGAATAGTATGGCCTTGTCAAATATTAGCTGCCTAAGAGCTAAAAGAAATTTCTCTGGTGGTTAAGTGTTCACCTGCTAGGTCAGCAGTTTGAGCTCACCAGCTGCTCTACAGGACAACAATGTGGCAATCTGGTTTACAGCTTTGGAATCTCATAGAGCTGTTCTGCTCGAGCTGTAGGCTCACCGTGAGCCAGAATTGATTTTAGGCTTCAGCTGCAGGATGAAGGCTCAGAGTGTTTCTGTTTTAATGTGAAGTCATCTTGTAGGACTTTGTAAATTTATATAATTTTTTTCCACATTTTTAAAAAGTGATCTTATCATTCTTTTTGTTTTGTTTTATTATTCTTGATTTACTCTTAGATGAAGGATGGTTGGATGTTGTCCAGTCTTTAATTAGAGTTATTCCATTGGAAGATCCACTGGGACCAGCTGTTATAACATTGTTACTAGATGAATGTCCATTACCCACTAAAGTAAGTTAATACTTAACCTTTCATATTGTTGTTATCTATGCTTAAGCCCAAGATGAATAGTTCCAAAGAACATATGGTGTGGTACCTCTTTATGCTTTTGGATTCTGCTTTATCAATATGAATTTCATTTTTTATAAATTTGGGGTTTTTTATTAATGGAGCACTGCATCCTTTTTCTGTAAGATATTTACTATAAAAGACTTTAGTTTAAAGTTAGAAAAATATTAGAAATAAAAGCATATATATCTGAAATGGTAATCTTTTTTCCCAGAAAGTAGAAGAGAATGTTCACCTGATTAGCTGATTGCTTATTTTTCTTTCAACACTTTCCTCATGATAAAAGTTGTTAATTTTTTTTTGAGGCAAACTGTTACACTAAATGTAATTTTTAGTTTATTTGAACATATTAAGTGTTGATGTAACTTTAGCTACATGAAAGAAAAGTATCAAACTTTTATTGCCTTAATCCATGTTCTACTGAACTCTTTTCCCTACCCTTATATTTTTTCAAATTTGAATTCTAATGTTTTTCATTTTCTGTTTAAGCCTCAGACATTTGAACCTGGGGGAAAGGAGGCCAGGGAAATATATTATGAACAAAAGGAAGAAGTCCTTGACTCATTCATTCCTGAACTGACCTTTGCCTGAGCTTATACATAGTTTCGGTTTTATTTTCTTTTGAAACTCTACTGACATATGTTTCTGCTTGATAAAAATTTTTTTAAAAGTAAATTTTTCTTTCAATGTCAGTGGGCTTTAATACTAATAATCATCAGTCATATTGGTATTTAAGTGAGTTTAATCTGTTTAGTGATTCCATTATACAACTGGTACTTTTTGTTGTGATTTTAAAGAAAATTTACAAAAAGACCGGGTTTTCGTTCATTCACTGTTGCACATTTTCCTTCTTTCCTCCTTGCCCAGTCCACTTTGTCATGAACCTCTTGTTCCAAATTGTCATGATAAGTTTTACTTCTTTATTGTTGAAAATATACCCAGCAGAAGACAAACCAGTTGAGCAGTATCTATTGTGCCTTTTCACCTTTTCTGAGTTGTCCCTTCCTCATTGTCATAAACTCACTTCCTGTAAGACTCTTATCTAATCTTTTGAGCTGCTATTTAGATCCCATGTAGATAGTTTTTTTAAAAAGCATAAATGATCAAGGCAGATCTTTGTTTTGTTTTGTTTTTTTTCCTTTTTTTGGTTGGTTGGGGTTTTTTGTTTTGGTTTTTTTTTTTTAATTTTCTACTAGTTTATTTACAAAATTCTAATACATTGTACTCAAGAACAAATTCTTTGTTTCTCTCCTCCTTCCACCCAACAAATTGTACAAAAAAATATGGAACATCTCACAAATTTGCGTGTCATCCTTGCACAGGTCCATGCTAATCTCTCTATTGTTCCAATTTTAGTATATGTGCTGCCGAAGCGATCACAGATCTTAGGGGTTTTTTTGCTAATTAAGCTAAACCACTACCTGGTTTTAAAAAGACTTTGGAGAATATTTTTACTTCAGGTTTAAAAATTATCTCAGAGCAGTAGTTTCAGGGGTTTATCCATTCCCCATCACTCCAGAAAGGCTAGAGTCCTTGAGAATTTGATGTTCTGTTGTGTACAAGTTGCCATACAGTGGTAACTTGCGGTTGCTGTGAGGCTGAACACTGTGACACTGACGTGTTAAATGTGTTAATGGTTGGTTACCCAATGCGGACAGAGAGTGGGGTGGAGCTCCCTGATGAAAACAAGCTTCGAAGGAGGAGTGTCATCCACTTCCGTAATAGCTTGCCTGCAGAAACCCTGTGAACCTGGAGAGAGGATGAAGGGCACCCACTCGTTGAGGACTCTCCTTCATAGGGTTGCTAGGAGGCGCCTGTGACTCAACAGCACTTAACAACAAGTTCTACATTTCCTTCCTCCTTTGATCAGGAGCTTTGTACGGAATCTTTGATCAAAATATTCTGTACTGGAAGCCTGGCACTATCTTATCTAGTTCTTCTAATCTCATGGCAAAGCAGACAGTTGCTCATGAAGCAAACAGCTACACATTGCATTTCTCCTCTTCCTGACGCCTCCTTTTGCTCTAGGTGAATGTTGCTGTTATGTGCCCTTGAGTCACCTTCAGCTCATAGGGACCTTTTGCACAATAGCTCAGAACAGATCCAGGTGAATAGAGACCAATTATTGTGTCTTAGATGGCTTGCAAGCTTTTATGACTGCAGACACTATGTGATGAACCAAATATATTCTCAGGCCACTTAGATGGAAAATTTCATATCATTCCTTAGCAGCTATACTTTTTTTTTTCAATTTTAATTTTTTTTAAATAATAAAATTTATTTTAATTGTGATTTTAACAAAAAGTTACAGAAGAGTTGGGTTTCATTGTTGAACATTTTCCTCCCTACCCGTCCCTCATTTTGTCAGTTTTTAATTTGTACATGAGTAGAATCTTTTAATTCACATAAATTAACTTGCATATTTATCAAATGATATTTCATGTCAGTACTGTGCATTGTTATCATTTTCATATTGTCATTCTGATCTTATTAAATACTGGATTACAACTTGGTATCAAAGTATTATCTTGGAATAAAACTGAGTACTGAATATGTTACATCCACTTGTACATTCTTGTTTTTAGGATGCGCTCCAGAAATTAACTGAAATTCTCAATTTAAATGGGGAAGTAGCTTGCCAAGACTCAGGACATCCAGCGAAACATAGGAACACATCTGCAGTACTAGGCTGCTTGGCTGAGAAACTGGCAGGTAATTCTGGGATGCTCCACAAGAGATAATCTTAAATTGTTTGACAGTAAGGGGGAGATTGTACTGCTGGTCTTTCATCAAATCTGCTGTACCTAAAAGAAGTATCTTAAAAAGGAAATTGAGGGCCAGAAACTAACTGGAAAAAAGCAATTTCTCAAAGGCCACCAAGGTAAATGTAGTATCATTTATCTTTATAGCTTTTCTGAGGGAATTGAAAAGAAAAAAGTCTTTTTTATTTGCTTTTAAATTAAGGATAAAAGGAAAAGCTAAACTCAAATGTAACAAAAGAAAATAATTCCGTTTATTAAGTTTAACTAAATAATAAAGGGATACAAGTAAGAGAAGAAGAAATTTAAGATTGGAATAGTTCTTGAGAAACAGATTTATTACCCATTTTAGGAAAGTTATCCTTTGTGCAGGGGGATGGATCAGCTAGTTATGGCATGTTGAATGGAAGAAACTGAGTTGGAAATCAGAACATGTGGATAATACTTCTGCTGCCTTTCTCCACAAAGGGCCTGGAGTAAGGCAGTTGACTGTGGACTGGAGGGAAATGAGGAGAATATTATTTCCTACTTCAGAGAATGAGGGTTTAATAAGATGATGTTTATGAAAGCACTTTGAAAAAGTCAAGCTCGGGTGGGGTGTAATGGGGGAGTAGTTAATTATAGGGTCGCACAATTTGATGGGTGGACGGAGGGGTGGGTAAAGGAAATGGGAAAGATCCTGTATGAAAAACAATGTATATGAACTTTGTTAGTAAACCAGTATAAAAAAAAAATTTTTAAAGATAGAACTCTACTAAACTTGTTATTACTTATTGACTAAAATAATGAGGTATATTTAATTCTTTCCAATGGCTTGTTGTTTGCTTGTTGTTTTGTTGTGTGTTTGTTTTGGTTTGGTTTTTTTTCTTTTTTTTTTTCTGTAGGTCCTGCAAGTATAGGTTTACTTAGCCCAGGAATACTGGAATATTTGCTACAGTGCCTGGTAAGTGAGATTTCAAAGCTTAGTCATCTAGAATTGTGCATTCTCTCAAATTACCAAGCTTAGTCATTGGCACAGAAAATGGAATCGTTTATGAATTGTATTTGCAGGTGTTTCCTGAGCTTTTATTTCTTGCCTTCTATTCTTAAATAATGAGGATAGGATAAGAATTTATTGTAAGCAAAAATTTCTGGCTTAGTCTGGTTTCAAATTTAACCATAAGATAACTGCTATGGGGTGTGGATGTGTGTGAGAGAGAGATTGAGAGAGGAAGAGAGTTTAGAGTCTTCCTAATAGTATTTAGGACTTCCACAAGGAAGGCAAAATTACATGGCATTCCAAACCAGCAAACTGTCAGATTCCTAGTACATATAAATCTCTACTCTTCCTTCTCCTACCCTATCCCCAACCTTCTAAATGCCCCAAACCCCATTAGCATTGAGGAATTTGAGATATTGTCTATATTCTACCTTCAGATCTCTTAAACTGCTGGGCTGTAGTCTTGACTGGTATGCAGACCTGTGAGCACTGACCTTTTACAAAACTCAGATCTGAAAGACCTTCTTTTTCATTTCCTGTATAGTATGTGCTTAAAATAACACTGTGCCAAATATTGTGGTTATACAAAAGTATTAAAATATTTCCCCCCAAGACATTTAATTGAGAGAACACAACTGCCCAGGCAAGACAGTTAATCTCCATATTATGACAGAACATGATTAAGGGCAAAATTGTTTACTTCATTCTTAAGTACCACAGGAGTCCAGAGAAAGGTGGGCAAAGTGTGAGTGGTGAGAACTTCTTGATAAAAATGGGACCTCAGCTAAGTCATACCATAAGGTTAGGATTTACATATGAATAGGTGAGGAAAAAGAGAAACAAAGAAATGGCTTTTTAGGGAAAACAAACACCATGGTCAGTAGACCAAAGAGAAATAACCATGTTCCTGGATGCTGTAGACAATTGTCTGATCAAAGAAGACAAGTGTTCAGGGATAGAAGGATGTAAGATTGAGTAGCCAGACTGGATGGGAAACAAGGAATTCAGGGCCTGAAAAGCTAGGCAGAGGGGTTGAGAATGGACATGGCAAGAAAGGGTGCTAGACAGACTTTGTAACCAGAAAGGATAATGATTGATCAACTATGCAGAACATAATTGGGTAGCAGGGAAGTGAGCCGGAATCATCTGACATCCCAAGAGCTCTGTTGGAGGTTCCTAACTTTGCTGTGTAAAGGGATGGTTCTGAGAAACGTGATACTATGGTAGGCAGATGGACTGTTCTTTAAATGTGAACACAGCTGACTGTATGTGAGGATATTGCATTATTTATAATGTAATGTCGCTGTTGTGTACCATCGAGTTAGAACCGACCCATAGCTGACCCTCCAGTGGGTTTTCAGAAGCAGTTAATTGCATGAGAGGAGACTGCCCATCGAGAAGCTGGTGGTGGCCTCGAACCACCTGCCTTCAGGATTGCAGCACAGCTTCTGGCCACTAGGCCACCATACCAAGTGAAAAGTCATGTTGCATTTAAATACTTCCAGGAAAGGGTTAAACCGGGTGGCTCCTTGGAGGCAAGGATTCTGAGGCTCCGTCTAACATACTTTGGACATGTTGTGAGGAGAGACCGGTCCTTGGAGAGGAACATCATGCTTGGGAGGGTGGAGGGACAGTGCAGGAGAGGAAGGCCCTCTATGAGGTGGATTGATTGACTGGGGTAATCGGGATGGGAGTGTCAGAGACAGTGCGATTGGCACAGGACAGAGCAGGGTTTAGGGCTGTTGTACATAGGGTCTCTATGAGTCACCAGCGACTCGACGGCACATAACAACAACAACAACATAGCATAATTATTTCACATATAGAAAAATTTTAAATTAAGGTGCTATCTTGGTTCTTCATTACTAGTAGTATTAACCAAATAAACACATTTAAATGAGTGAAATTTCGAGCTGCTCTACAAAATATGCTACATTTGAGGAAGAAGATGCTGCCCCTGCTGACGAATGATATTTTCTTTTCCATGTTTTGTCGTCTTTCAGAAACTACAGTCCCACCCCACAGTCATGCTTTTTGCACTTATTGCGCTGGAGAAGTTTGCACAGACAAGTAGGTACAATGGCTTCTCACACTCATGATTTTCTGTATTGATTTGTAACCATTTGCACTTAGATGGCTCTGGCTTTTTTACTCCTAAAAACAGTAACAGAACTCATTCTGGTCTCCTCATATCTGCCCTCACTCCTTACCATTACTAGTCTGCCCAACAGATCCTCCTAGTCCTCGTTATTAATTCCGAGTTCACATCTTTCCCAACAGGTGAAAATAAATTGACTATTTCTGAATCCAGTATTAGTGGCCGGCTTGTCACGTTGGAGTCCTGGGCTGATGATCCTGATTATCTGAAACGTCAAGTTGGTTTCTGTGCCCAGTGGAGCCTTGACAATCTCTGTAAGTCAGAGTCCTCCTTTACTGAAAGGTCTTGTTTCCATTTTCAAACCTATTTTTTATAGAGGATCACTGTTCTTTTTTTAATACTGTTGAGAATTAGTCCTTCCTTTCAGGTCCCCACCTAGTTGTCATTAGGGACTGTGCAGTCAGCTTTGACTGATAGTGACCCCACGAAAAACAGATCTGACCCTTGCCCTTTCCTGTACCAGCCTCACAATCTCTGCCAGGCCCATTGTTGCCGTACCTGGTCTGTCTTTCACTGACACTCCATCTTCTCAGTATATCTTTTTCCAAGGACTGGCCCTTCCTGACAGCATGTCCAAAATATGTGAGATGAGGTTTCACCATCTTTGCTCTAAAGGAGCACTCTCTCCAAGACAGCTTTTATTATTTTGGCAATCCATTTGATTTTCAGTATGCTTCCCCAGCACCACAGTTTAAAAGCTTTTATTTTTCAGTCTTCCTTATTCATTGTCCAACTTTCAGATACATAGAAGGCAATTGATTATACCAGGGCTTGGATCAGGCACAGCTCGGTCCTTAAGTTGACATTCCTGGCTCTTCAGCACTTTAAAGATGTCCTCGGCAGCCAATTTGCCTAATGCAGCACTCCTTTTGATTTCTTCACTGCTGCTACCATGGGTGTTGATTGTAGATCCAAGTACAATTAAATCATTGACACCTTCAGTCTTTTCTTTATCTGTCATGATGCTGCTTATTGGTCCAGTGATGAGAATTTTTGTTTTCTTCATATTGAGATGTATTGAAGGCTGCAGCAAGTGCTTTAAGTCCTCTTCACGTTCTGCAAGCAAAGTTATGTCCTCTGCATAACACAGAATCCAATCCTGATGGCACATTCTTTATATAGTCTACCCGCTCGTAGGATCTGTTCCTCATACTCATTGAATACAAATGGAGAAAGACTCTGACATGATGCACACTGTTCGTTATTGAAATAATGTGACGTTACCCTGTTCTGTTTGAACTCTGACATGCACACTGTTCGTTATTGAAATAATGTGATGTTCCCCTGTTCTGTTTGAACAGCTGCTTTTTGGTCTGTGTATCTTTCTATTGCATTCAGGTCCTCAGTCATATGGCATGGCCTGATCAGCTTCCAGAGAAGCTCTGATGGCCTATTTATTGCTAAAGAGCTGCACTGCCAACCCAAAAGCACTCGATTCGAATCCACCAGCTGCTCAATAGGAGAAAATGAACATTCTCCTCCCATGCAGTTTATGACCTCTGAAAATCCACTGGAGGGTCAACTATGAGTTGGTTCTGACTCGACAGTACATAATAACAACAGTCAGTTTCCAGGGAGCTCTGGTGGCATAGTCCAGAGGGGGTTGCACTGCTAGCTGAAAGGTGGAAGGTGGTTCCTTTCTGGCAGTTTGGATCCACCAATGGTTATGTGGGGAAAAAATGGGCACCCTTCTCCTGTGCAATTTACAACCACTGAAAGCCCACTGGAGGTCAACTATATGTGGGTTCCAACTCTATGCAATGAGAGTCTGAATTGCCTTTCTAATGCAGACTGTCTCCTCATTGTTCTGTGTACAAGTCCTGATCGTTCCCACCTCTGGACTTCTTCGCCTCACTCGAAATGCCCTGTCTTTACTCTTTTTCCTATCCAACTTTAGTATTCTGAATCCAGTTTATCTCTTTCCAACTCCATGAGGATCATTCTTACCTTTCCTCTTCCAAATTCCACTAAGACTTAGTCCAGAACGCTAGTTCATTATTCAGTAAGAGACTGTCTATAACTATTTGCTAATTAAGTATTTGTCATCCATCTAAAGCCATATTATAAGTGTCTCCAAAGACTGTAGGACTAAAATGAAATGCTAGAGCACAGTCATTGTGACCGTGGGACTTCCTTCTAATCCAATAGTGTGAGAAGGAACTTGGTCTCTGACCCGTGTAATGGCAGTTAAAGAATGCAATTTGGATTTTGATTCCTATAAAATAATGAATATAAAGAAGAAAAGCATAAGCTTGAAAGTGTTGTCTGCCTTAGTGTTTTCTCTGTTAGGGCTTCATAGGGTAGTATAGCACTGAGACCAAGTTTATACATCGCCCTGCTAGATCTACCAGTTACCACCACATCCACTCCTTGGCTAGTACAGCAGCTGACAATGACAATGGCCTTATAAATATGAATACTTTTTTCTTTGGCAGTTTTAAAAGATGGTAGACAACTGACCTATGAGAAAGTGGACTTGAATAACATTAGGGCTATGCTGAATAGCAACGATGTCAGCGAGTACCTGAAGATCTCTCCTCGTGGCTTAGAGGTAAAGTTTCTGAAGGACTCACTTTTGTTCACCCTGGTTCTGAACAAAGGCAGTTGGAAGTGAACAAAGGGGTATAAGTGGAAGAGATAGGGTATTTCAGGAATGTAATCTCACTTATATCCCATTATGTAATGCTCTACATACAGTAAGCACTATAATTTTAGTGGGAGCTCTGGTGGTGCAGTGCATAGGAAATTGCCCTGCTAACCCCAAGGCTGCAGCTCTTGGGCAGTTCGAATCCACCGGCTCCTGAAGAAGACAGCTCAGCAAGCTTCTCTGTGACTTCCAGCCTTTTCCAAGGCCAGTGACGGAGCAGCTTTTACGTCAGTTCTGATTGAACAACAATGATTTTGGAGGGGTTTTTTTTAATACTATGTATGACTATGGTTTAAATATGTTGTTTTACTCTTTGTTCAGCTAAAGATGCAAACACTAAAATAATTAATTTTGTAATCCCTTCATAGCTAGTTGTAGTCAGTCTGGGACTTCCCTTCTCCCTGTATATTGGAAACATTGCTGATTTTGTAGTGAAGATAGATGAAAGAGCTGCTTATGTATGGATAGGAAGGTGCCACTGGATACTAGACACGTCAGCATGAAATTTGCAGAATGGCTGTAAATACTGCTTTGATGTTAGGTATTGCCAAGCTTCTTAAATAGCTTTCTGCTTTAAATTTTTTTTACCCCATTTTATACCCTTCAGTATTGTTTTTACCCTCCATCAAAGCAAGTACAGGTAAAGGAATGTTTACTTATTTGTAAAAGGCATATATGAGAGAAAAGCTCTAAAACCAATAATACCCTTTACTAATTCTTCCTGCAACCATTTTTTAGACCTTCTAAGCCACATACACATCCTATTAGTATTCCTTGGTAAAAAAGTTATAAAATAGTCAAGAGTATTGCTTTTCATTCAGTTTTTGTTTTTTTTGGGTTTTTTTTGTTTTTGGGTTGGTTTTTTTTTGTCACTAAAAGAGTTAGCCGAGGAAGAAATCATAGTCTTCTGGAAACAAAAATACATTCAGCTTCTTAGCAGTTATCTTGGATGATCTGCAGACACTAATGTGGACTATCACGCTCTGACTTTTCCAGGCTCGCTGTGATGCCTCCTCCTTTGAAAGTGTGCGCTGCACCTTTTGTGTAGATGCTGGAGTGTGGTACTATGAGGTAACGGTGATCACCTCTGGCGTCATGCAGATAGGCTGGGCCACTCGAGACAGCAAATTTCTCAATCATGTGAGTACACTGGGGATTATGTAGATGAGGGCAGAAGTCATTTCCTTTTGTGTGGGTAGGTGAAGGATACTCACATATACTTTTCAGATAGGCTTGTGCAGTAATCATTTCTTGAGCTTAACTATGTGATACCAAAACCCTAAAATGGTTTGTTAAAGTGATTTAGAATTAGATAAAATACAAGTGCAATTGCTCTCAGCCTTTTGTTTTTCTTTAAGACCTAAACTCCTGTTTCCCTTCTACCTAGAAGTTGGATGTGTCCTTTGTCTTTGTGGACTTTACTATAGTCCCAGCCCACATTTTTTATTAGGAACAATGTTGATTTTTAGAGTGCAAACTTTAGAACTTGGTTGACATTGACTTTTCATAAAATTCGAAATGTTGCATTCTCTCACTTGACTTTTGTAGTTAATAGACACATTTGTTTTCAATATTTACTATTTTTCTTTGTTTAAGAAGCTGCAATGTAAAAGGAAGATTATATCCACTAGAGGAAGCAGGACTCCTCCAAGAGGTGTTGGGGTTCCTCCCTTTACTATGCTGTATAATTTCAGTTTTTGCTTTTCATATACCTCACCCAGCTGACTTTATTCTGTTAGCCAGTTATAAGCTGTTTGGAAGTTAATCTTGTTTCAGTCAGTAATATGTTTCACATTGTTGAGCTGGGAAAAGCCCTTTGATTACTTATTTATCTAAAATAATAGTGCCCTACTCTTTATCTAAATAACATGCCTCCAGAAACCCTATGAACTTCGATAAATGTTGATAGTTGAAAAAAAAATGTTGATAGCTGTTAGAGGGGCTTCAAGCCTTTTGTTCATAGGGTTGCTGTGAATCATGCTCAACTTGAAGGCGATCAACAACTCTGTATGTGAGGGTGCTCTGGTAGCCTAGGGACAGGAAGCTGCGCTGGAACCCCAAAGGCACAGAGTTCGAATCCACCAGCTATTCTGAATGAAAAAACTAAACAGTTTCCTCCCATGCAGTTAACTGCCTCTGGAAACCCACTGGAGAGTCAACTATGACACGTAACAACAATAACCCCATATGTTAGGTTCTAGTTCAGTTTTAGAAGTGACTAACAAAATCAAACTACACTTGCCTATCATAAGCACAATTTTTAAAGGGACCCTTTGTTGGTGGTAGTAGGTACCATCAAGTCAAGTATGGCTCATAGCAACCCTAAGAATGACAGTTCTAGACCTTGCTTTATCTTGTCCTTCTCAAAGGACTGTTCCCTTCTGGACACATGCCCAAAGTATGTGAGACAAGACTAAAAATCCTTGACTCCAAGGAGCAAATTGATCTCACCCTCTATAGAACAGACCTGTTTGTTCTCTTGGCAGCTCATGGTATGTCCAGTCCTCTTCTCCAGCACCACCACTCAAAGGCATAGATTCTTCTGTTATACTTAGTCATTATCCAGCTCTCAGATGCATAGCAAGCAACTGAGAAGACCATGGCCCGGATCAGGCACACCTTAGTGCTTAGACTGACATTGTCGGACTCCAAGAGGTACTTGACAGCAGATTTTCCCAGTGCAGCTCATCTTTTGATTTCCTGACTGTGGATCCGAGCAAGATGAAATCATTAGCAACCTTGTTGATAGTATCAGTTGTACTGACAGCCTGCCCTAATTGATGCCTTAAAGATGATATTTAAGGACTTAGGGGCGGGGAAAAAATCTCAATTTTCAAAGCATCATTACTTCAGACCCTGTCATCTGATTATTGCAAATTTTTAGTATATTTATTTCCATTTTACAGATTAGAAGACTAAAACTGAGTAAAAATAAAGAAACAAGGGTTATAATTTCACCTCTTGCTGTTCTACCACAATTTTTTGTTTGCATTTGAAAATGGAGGAAATCTTTGGTGTTAGTCTCCTCATTTGGAAATAAAAAATTGTTCCATAACTAGAAGAGATACGAATCCCTGCAAAAAAGCAGCTATCATATCAAGATTGTTTCTCTCCACTTGGCGGGAGCACAGGCAGACCTAGGTGGAACATATGCCACAGGTTTCTTTAATGGCCAATGAAGCTGGACCATGGGAAATGCATTAGTTGGTATTTGAAATTGTTATTTCTGCCTCAAGTTAAGATACTTAAAGTACTGTTTTCCTAGCTTCCAAATTGCTCTAATAGACTGTTGCTTTCTTTCCTTGAGAAAGAAACTTTTTTTTCCCAAATCTAAACACTAATTGAGTCTCTGTTAGAAATATATCCTTTTCTGAATATAGGCTCTTGATGATATTTTCATATTTTGTTTCAAAAAGACATTGTTCAGTGGTTCTGGGTTTTTTGGATTTTCTTTTTCATGTACAGACAGGATGGACTTATGGAATGAGTCATTCCTAGCATGTACTTAGTTTCTGAAGAGTTTATTTTAACTCTTATCTATGGAATTTCCATTTGGGGAGGACAATCAGATTGCTAGAATCATAGACCAAACATTAAAATAAGTGTACGGATAGTTCTGGTTCAGGTTACCTCCAGAGTCGTTTTGTTTGTTGCGCTTTATGTTTTTATGGTGGATGATTCTGACTAGATGGCAGTGAGATCAGAAGGAATGACTTCTGAGCCCCTGTGAGGGGCTCCCAGAACTGCTGAAGGGTTTCAGAACCATAGGCTCCACCACAATTTCACAGTACCAAGAGATAGGAAGTACAGCCCAGTATTTTAGGGAAATTGGCCAAAATATAGCTTCCACTACACCCATGAATTCATCATAAGCCTCCCTTTGGGTGGAGTGACTTGCACCATGTTGAATGTCTGATGGAACATCCAGTTGATTGGGCTTAGGTCATAGCTTGCTATTCAACTTCCAGAGTGGGAGGCAGGACACTGTATCTCACAAATCTCCACACAAACAGGACTAGGATGCTGGACAGCAGAAAAAAGGAAATGCCCACCACATGGGGTGAGCACAAGCTTTCTTTTCTTTGTGATTAGTAAAGTTTCCATTACTAAAATATACATGATAGGAAACAGTTTATAATTATCACCTCACATAACTAGCTAGCTCCTCTGTTCTCTCATTAGTCTACCCTAGACAATGAGTACCGAAACAAATACTACTAGAAAGGTTTTTAGGTTAAAAGAGGTGGTGGTTCATCCAGATTGTTTTCTGAGACATAAGTTCAAATGGGTTTTTGAAGTATAACTCTGCTTGATAGAGATACCACGTCATAGATTGATGAAAGATTTGTGGTTATAATTTTTTGAGTTCCTCTTCTGCCCACCATGCCACTCTGTTATAGAAGTCATCCGGTCACAGAAGACACTGTAGGGTAAAGAACTGGCTATGAGCCTGCTCTTTACCAAGAAATGGCTAGGAATCTTCTGGGAATTTCTTTACAGTATTTGCTCAGGGGCTTTTTAACATTGGAATGTAAAGGTTGGGGGAGAAAGAATTGCTTGCCTCTTTGCCCATGACCTAGAGGCCACGATTTAGTGGTTTTTAAGTTTTGTGCTTTCTGATTTGCTTGGGTTTTGAAAGTGGAGTAGCAAGGTATTTTTCCTGATAGACTAGAAAATTTGTTCTCTCCCTAAAGGCTGTTATGTAGTCTGAATACTGCATGGCTAGAGCTAATGCCTAATTTATGAAGATGGTACAACCTTACTTACAGAAAATGAAGCTTTGAAGCACTAACTGAAGAATATCAGAGTCTCAGCCTTTACAGTGGATTCCATGTCAACATCAGGAAAACAAAATCTTCGCAATTGAATCAACAGACATCATGATAGGTGGAAACAAGATTTGTCAAAGATTTCATTTTATTTGAATCCACAATAAACACCCATGAAAGTTGCAGTCAAGAAATTTAAAAAAAAAAACAACACAAAATTCCAACGTGTTGAATTGGGGAGATTGGCTGTCAGGACCTCTTTAAAGTGCTAAGAAGCAAGTGGTATTGGAGAAGAGTACTGAATATCCCAGGGACTGCCAAAAGAACAGATCAGTCAGTCTTGGAGAAAGAATAGCCATAGTGCTCCTTGGAGGCCGGAGTGGTGAAACCTCTGTCTCATGTATTTGGGGCATGTAGTTAGGAGGCGCGTGGTCAGCAAAAGACAGACTTCCATAGGATGGCTCGACATAGAAATGGGCTCAAGTGTATTAGAGATGATGGGGATGGCCCAGGATAGGGCACAGTTCAGATCCAGTGTTTATAAGGTTGCAGAGAAGGTGAAGTCACCTCAATAGTACCTAACCACAGAAACTTGTCTTTAGGGGAATTCTAGCGCACAAGTTGATAGGGAGTTGCACTGCCTATCCAAAGGCCGCCCTGCAGGAGCAAGATGGGCAGTCCCCGCCCACATTGTTTACAGCTTCCGAAAACCCACTGAAAGGTCGTCTATGTGTTGGTTCTGACTGGACAGCGATAGGATTGAGAATATTTTCTTAGAGGAGACAGAGTTAATAATTGTTGATGAAGACATTATCTGCTTCCTAGAGTGAGGCCTCTGTGTCCTAATTTTGATATTTCCATGACCATTGCACTCTTCCCCTTCATTAAAAAAGCTTGCACTTCAAGCTTCTCGGTTAATGGTTATAAAAGATACACTCTCTTTTTCTCAGATGGGAGCAGGCAGAGCCTTTCTAATCCTCTGGGCCATGTCTCCCTCCAGGAAGGCTATGGCATTGGAGATGACGAGTACTCCTGTGCATATGATGGCTGCCGGCAGCTGATTTGGTACAACGCCCGAAGTAAGCCTCATCTACATCCCTGCTGGAAAGAAGGTATTCATCCTTCTCCATCATGATCTTAGCATCTGAGTTAGAGGAGGCATCTAATTTTCTTTACATATTTGACTGAAGATCAGTGTGAAAAGAGTTATTAGTCCTTTTAATCATTTCCATGAATGTTGTAATATAAAAGTCTTAGGTCAATAAGAAAATAAGTTTAATACATGTATTTCATTTTCTCTGTGAGTTTGTGTTTTGAATCAGTGCAGCTGATATCAGGAACACTGAAATAGCAATGCCACTAAACAGAAAATATTGTTAGAGACAAGATCCTTGTGAGCTGGACACTATTTGGTGGCCATATTCTGGGAACCTGCTGTGCAGCTTTTAAGAAGAATGTAAAGGACTTTGACCATGAGTTTGTGTTTTCTGTCTCGGATCTTCTACTGGATCCTGTTTACAGGGGTCAGCAGTGGTAGCTGGGTACAATCTACTTCTGTCCTCACAGTGTTAGTTTGTAAAGGCTTTTAAAGGAACTTAAAACTGTTTCATGGGTGCTAATAAAAGCACGGCCCCGTGGGGGAGGCATGGGTAATCCCCCAGCTGCTCACCAAAAGCCAGGCAGTCACATGAACCGGCTGCTCCAGTGGGGAAGGCAGCCTTTGGCAGCACTGCAGACCAGTTCTCCTTTGTCCTATAGCGTCATTATGAGTCAGAATCAGTTCAGAGGCTGTAGATTCGAGTTTTGTTTAGAGGCATTGTCTTCAATTCAATTGTCTTTAATTCAGGTTTTCTAATGAGACTTTTGAAAGTTGTTACTAAAGTAGGAAAAGCTTATTACAGAAATTTGAAGAACAGGCAGAGAAAGCAAAATGAATAAACTAAAAATCACTTGCAATCTTTCCATTCAGAAAAATTTTTTTAAAAATTTGGTATGTATTTTTTATGTTCTTGTTCTTCTTTATGTCTTAAACAAATTTCCAGGTAATTAAATAACATTGTTTTTGATGGCTACTCAGTATCCCCATGTGTACAATGTACCATGACACATTACTATATTTTTTTGCGAATAACACACATAAATAATGCATAATGTTGTTTATAGCAAACATAGAGAACTAATATGGGAGCAGAGTTGTACAGTTTGTGTAGTGTGCTTGTTGTTTGCATATAAATTGTATTGTCTCCTTGTTGTTTGCTTAAAATAGTAATTCCTTATTGTTGAACATTTGCATTTTTAACTTTCTCAATGTTAGTCATTGGATTTTTCTCAAGATAAATCTTAGATGTGAAACTTCTTTGGCAAAGATGACACAGAATGTTAAGACTTTTGTCAGATTTCCCTCTACTAGTATCGAATGTCCATTTTCTCTGTAATCATTAGGGAATATCATTTGTTTAGAAACTTAAAAAGCAAAAACTGAAATCTCAGGGTTTTTTTCCCCCTTTATGGACAGTATTATCTTAGAAAGTTTTGTGGGGTTTTTTCGTTTTTTTTAATTATTTTTTGTGTGTGTACCGTCAAATCAGATCTGACTGGTACAGGAGGAGATTGTTCCTCCTTCTCCAGCAGAGCATCTGGTGGATTTGAACCGTGTACCTCTGGGATTGCAGTACACCTTCTTGCCACTAGGCCACCAGAGCTTGCCATTTTAGAAAGTTTTAAAGATCACTAGAAAGATAAATTAAAAAAGCACATAATTTTAACCTTACCATATTTCATTGACCCAAAATGCACATTGCTCTTACATTTTACCATCACTGAAGGTGGGATGCCTCTTACAGACATGGCTTATCATAGTTTACTTGATAGCTTCAGTTTCCTAATGGCACTTTAAAATATTAGTATATAAAAATGAGCATTACTGTTGAAGAAGCAAGAAGATGTTGACTATGTGGCTAGATGTTGACTAGAGGTGAAGCCTTCTTACAGTGACCTGGTAGGGCTCATCCTAACACTTTTTCTCTTTTCCCTCTAGGAGACACGGTAGGATTTCTTTTAGACTTGAATGAAAAGCAGATGATCTTCTTTTTAAATGGCAATCAGCTGCCACCAGAGAAACAGGTCTTTTCCTCAACTGTGTAAGTAGCTCTTCCCAGTGGAAAAATATTAGTACATGCATAGAAAGTACTTTTCTCCATGGTGGGAGTAGAGGGAGATCCTTTGTCTATTTATGTAACTCATTATTATGGGAAGTCAGTTCATTTCAGGTAACGGGAAACTCATTTGATTTACTTAAAGGTTATCCCCAAGTTTAATATAGGAATATCAAAGTAGGATTTTCTGTGGTTCACAGACTTTGCTAGGTTAATAGAAAAAATTTGTGTCACCTTTCCTGCCTGCTCGAACTTCTTTATGAATTTGGTTTAGTTTTGTTAAATCTATTGACCTTTGTGCTCATTTTTATTTGTAGATCTGGATTTTTTGCTGCAGCAAGTTTCATGTCATATCAACAATGTGAGTTTAATTTTGGAGCAAAACCATTCAAATACCCACCATCTGTAAAATTTAGCACTTTTAATGACTACGCCTTCCTGACACCTGAAGAAAAAATAATTTTGCCAAGGTAAATAAGGATTCTGTCTAAGCCCATTCTAGAAATTCATACATATTTTATGAGAAATCAGAACAATTTGTCAGATTACTTTTGCTCAACTTTTTACAGATAATTTTGAAAACCTGAGTAAAATGGTTAGTTCTCTACAAAATGTAATTACTTAGATCCCAAAAGATATAAACAAACCAATTATTATGATAAAATTAATTGAAGAAAAAAAATCTATAAGGCCTGTGTCCCAAAAAAACCCCAGGCCCAGGTGGTTTCAAAGATGTCTATCAAGTCTTGAATCACAGTTGACTTTATTATTAACTGAAATACTGCAAAACCAAAAAAGAAAGAAGGAACATTACTATATTTTTATGGACCAGATTACTGTTGTTGTTATGATCTATTGAGTTGCCTGCAACAACTTCCTGCGTATGACACAACTCAAGCTTTCTTGAGTTAAATACATATAACATAAAATTTACCATTTTAACCATTCACGGACACTTAGTACATCAGAATGTTGTGCGGTTGTCCCCTCTGTCTAGATCCAGAACATTTGCTTTAACCCAAGAGGAAAATCCATACTCATTAGCAGTCACTCCTCTTGCTCCTTCTTTCCAGTAAAGGCACTAGACTGCCTTCTATTCCTTTGAATCTGCCTATTCTGTACATCTCGTAAATGGATTCTTATATAATACAGCTGTCTCGTTTCTTTCACTTAGTCTAATGTTTCAAGGTTCATATGTATTAGTGCTTCCTTTTTTTAAAAAAATTGGGTTTTCTGTGAATGTTTACAGCATTTTAGGTTCCTGTTCAGCAATTTCTACACAGGTTGTTTAGTGGCATTGATTAGCATTCTCATTATTTCTCTTCTGGTTGTTCTATTTCCATTAATTTAGATTCCCTTTCCCTATAACATTCTGACTGATCTTTGTTTTAAAGTAATTGCTGACCATGATCTCATAGAGATGATTTTTTTAAAGGAGCACAGTACTTTTCAGGTGATACTTATAATTTTTTAAGCCAGTTTATTATTTGGTTACAAGAATGACCTTCAATCTAGGAAGCTCTGGTGGCCTAGTGGCAGAACGCTGTACTGCAATCCCAGAGGTACGCGGTTCAAATCCACCAGATGCTCTGCTAGAGAAGGAGGGGGCAATCTCCTCCTGTACCAGTCAGATCTGATTTGACGGTACACGTAAAAATAATACAATAAAAATTAAAAAAAAAGAATGACCTTCAAAGGTTAGTTTGATTCAAAGTTTGTAGAGTATCTAAGTATAGTAACCCTGGGAAGTTCCTTGAATTTTAATTTCTTTATTGGTAAAATGGATATGGCTAGGCCTCCTTTGAAAAAGTCATTTTGTTATTTAAATGTGAAAACGAAAAACTTAAGCACAGAGGAATTCCATAGCATTTTGTTTCCTTCAATGATAACTAGCTCTGTTTATTTATTGACAAGATGAACTTCAAACTGCTTTTTCTACTCAGGCATAGGCGTCTTGCTTTGTTGAAGCAAGTCAGTATCCGAGAGAATTGCTGTTCCTTGTGTTGCGACGAAGTAGCAGACACACAGCTGAAGCCATGTGGACACAGGTAAGGGCTTTTGGTTATCTCCTTATTTGTACATTAGGCAAACTTTCCTCTTGTTTTTAAATCGCTTTTAGAGCTGCTTATTAAGGTTTATTTTTATTTAAAGTGGGCTGAATGAGCAAAGAGTTGCCAAGTAGCACATAGTTGTCTTCCAGAAAGTTCCTGAAACACTTGCAGCGCTTTAATATAGAAGACCTATGTTTGGTTGTTTTCACTGAATACTATATATTTTGAATTTGAAAACTGAGGGTACAGAAAGGAATTCTGAATAAAATGAATCATCAGAACCAACCGCAGAGAAATTGAAAAATCTAAACATCCTTTTAATTTCAAAAGAAATTAAGATGCCTTCTCTCCCAGAAGCATCTAGCCGAGATGATTTCACAGGTGAATGCTTTTACATTTTCAGGGTACAGATGTCTCATTCTTTTTAAACTTCAACAGATCATAAAGAAAATAAGAAAACCACAATATTCTTTGTATAAAGCCTGAATGGTAATCCTGCCAAAAGCTGTTAAAGCACATATGTTGTTGTTAGGAGCTGTCAAGATGTCTATAACTCATAGCAGTCCAATGAACAGCGGACTGAAACCATGACATGTTCTGCTCCATGCTCCGTCTCTGCCATTCTCCAGCCCATTGTAGCAGTCACTTTATCAGTTTTAGAGTCTTCCTCTTTTTTGCTGATCCCCTGCTTTTCCAAGCGTGATGTCTTTTTCTAGGGATACCTGATACCTGCTAAGCGTATGTGCAGAGTACACAAGCCAGAAGTCTCACCATCCTTGCCTCCAGGGAACACCCTGGATGTACATCCTCGAAGACAAATTTGTTTATTGTTTTTACAGTCCATGATAATATTCAGTACTCTTCGCCAACACCACAATTAAAAGGCATCTGTTCTTTGGTATTCACACACAAAAAGAAAATGTGTATTTTCACTTAATACAAATTTAAAAATCATACATCAAAGAAATAATTGGAACTGAACAGAACAACCGAGGGTCTTAGTTCAAGAATACAAAGATGGTTGAATAGAGGAAATCTAGTCATATCATTTACTCAGGTAGGCTAAGGAGGTGAAGTAATCTCTAAGAATGCAGAAAAGAATGTTAAAATTGAGTATCTATTCCTAATGATTGGACTATAAAACAAAAACTGAAGTCAGGAAGAAAACTGTATAAAACAGGAATGGCACGATTAACAATCAGTACTCAGACCTGATAAAGCAATTAGGTTCAAGAGAGAAAAGAAGGGAAAATTAGAATGGAGAGGCTTAAAATCATCATTTAAAGAGATGATGGATTGTATACCTGGACAGTCCAGGAAAAGAACTGAAAGTCTATTAGAATAGGGAAAAACTAACAAAAATCAATAGCACTTCTCTATGGCTGCCATTTAGAAAGCTTAAAGATTCCTTTTACAATGGATAAAGAAGTGGGCAAAAGCTATCTAAGAATACAAACCAAGAAATATATTGGGCCCTTTTTAACCAAAAGTTTGATGAGTCAAATTCACATGATGATCTGCTCCTATATATATTACAGTTTAAGAAACCCTGTGGGCTGTTCTATCTGATCATTGTTGAGCTCAGATCACCTTAATATCACACAGTAACAGCACAGAAGAAGAAGCTTTAAAACAATGTGAGATAGAAGACTTAAATAAATAAATTTGTTCTTAGCTGGGATAGCGATTGAAATTGTAAAGATTTTCTCAAATCTCAAACTTTAATATGATCCATATGAAAACGACATACTGTCGTTTTTTGATTTAGGGAATTTTTTCCCCTTGAAATGTTACTGCTATTGTTATATGCCATCAAGCTGACAGAGTAGACATTCTAATTTAAAAGTTCAAGTGATAACATGGCAAGAAGATTCTGAAAAAGGATTATAAATTGAGCCAAATCTACCACATATTAAATGATGTACTACCAGTGAATGATACTGAGATGAATGACTAGCTGTTTGAGCAAAAATAGCATCATATACCTACCTGTATATATTTGTGTGTTTATGCAATGTACTTCAACAGTTTTCTGGAAGTGGTATGAACTTTTAACTTGTTCCCTTAGAAAAGAATGGGAGGTATGAAATGAAAAAGAGATTTATTGTCTGGTTTTGTTTTGATTTTTTTTAAAAAAAAAAAGAGAACATATGTAATTACCATTCATTCAATGAACAGATTTATTAGTAACACTGATTTGATTTGGTAGGTAGTCAGAGTCTGAACTTTAAGAGCCTTCACTTACTGGCCTTTGTATCTTTCTCCTCAGTGACCTGTGCATGGATTGTGCCTTGCAACTGGAGACCTGCCCATTGTGTCGTAAAGAAATAGTGTCTAGAGTCAGGCAGATTTCTCATATTTCATGACATACGTGAAAAAACATCATGGACTTATTTCTACCTGATTCCAGCCAATGTTGAAAAAGAAAAAAACTCTTAAACATCTTTAATCAGTTGTATGCACATTGAAACTTATAGCCATGGCCAGATTTTATGCTAAAAAATGGTAGTTTGTAAAAGACAAAATTCTCTTAGAATCTAATTCAACATGTCCACCCTGAGAAATTCCTTTTAAGGCCAAGAAGAGCTGAATGCTAACAGCTAGACCTGTGGTACTTCCACGAGAAACAGTCGTAGGAGGTGCCCTCCTAAGTGCTGTAAACACACCAGAATTCTCCATGTTGGGTTCATATGATTGTTTAATGCGGGGTGTTTGATATCATAAGTCTATGGTTTTTATTTGGTGCAGAAATAACTGAAGAAGTAAATGACAGTGTTTCTGCAGTTATTGTAACTTCCCACTAATCAGAGAGACATTCTTGTGTTAAGTGTGGATATTGTACTGCAAGACTTGAATTTGTAAAAGTAGAGTTTCCAGGTCAGAACTACAAGCAACGTGGAAGACCTGAAAGAACGTGCACAGACTGTAGGAAAAAAAACTCCAGTTTTTTTTATATTTCAGTGATTCCAAAGAACATTCTAGTTTTTGGGTTTTGTTGTTGTTTTTAATGACAGAAAATTGGTGGTATTTTCACATTCATGGTGTTTCTATCCAATTACAGTACCCACATTTTATGAGGAAAAATGTTTTACTGATGCAGGAGAAATTCCTACATTAATTGCAATGTTAGACTGGAGAAAATGTGGTATTTTAGGATATTTTTAAGGTATCATTAAATCAGACTATTTGTTTTTGTTTTAAAAAAGTTTTTTTGATCAGTATTGGTCTTGGAAGTATATACTCTAAAACTCTTGACCTAATAGTCTCAAAAACATCAAAGGACAGTCTGAGAACACATATTACTGTTGTTTTTAAATAAATACATGATTTTGAATAGTAAATTCAATCATGGATTGTTGACTATGTCTTCATCAAAAGTGTTAATCCCACTCAGGGTCTCTGATGAAGACCTTCAAGAGTTTGGTATTTTCTCCCAGAAAATTGGAAGGTAGAATTGTAAATTCATAGAACTTATTTTATAATGGTGTACCTCAACAACTGCCTTTCAATTTATGCCAAGTCCTTACTGAGTTTATACTTGAACAGTAAATATATGAGTCTTCTGAGTTTTACAGCGTCTTAAACTCAATGCACATTTTCCCTTCCTTTTTCCAGCCTTTCTTGTTTGTAGTTACATTAAGCCTGTCCTATTGCAGAGCTCATTTCCTTCCTGGCTGTACTCACTGGGGTGCTGAATTTTTTTTCCATGTCTTTAGTCTTCCATAAATTAAAAAAAAACAAAACAACAAACAGAACATATATATATATACATATATATGTATATATATGTTTTTATTTAGCTAGTGGTGAATACAGTAATTTGCATTGAAGAAATAAAACATTTCTTGACTTTTTTTACTAAGATTTCATAGCTTTCATTGATGCCCGCTGGTAAGATCCGTAGCCTACTCTCAGACACATAGAAGATTGCTAAGAGTTGGAATCATACAGTAGCAATTCATTTTTTATGGTAGGAGAGAATCAGCTATCCAAGTTAAGAAGCAAGGTTAATCACTCTTCCTCCAGAAAACCTTAACTGAAGGCCAGATGTCCTGGGCTCTGCCTATGAAATGTAGAATACAGATTTGTACATTTAAATACATTTATACTTAAGTCTGGTGGAGGAACTGAGCCCCTGACTTAAATCCATGTTAGAAGAGTCTCAAACTTGCACTGGAACATAGAGAGACCTAAATAGAGGGAAGAAAAGCTTAAGTACAACACTTGGACAGAAGATTTCCGAAGGCAGCTCAAGAAGACATAGGAAAGTATTACAATGAAATAAGCAAAAATCTATAATTAAAAAGAGTACATACCCTGCATTTCTCAAGCTGAAAGAACTGAAGAACAAATTTAAGCCTTGAGTTGCAGTACTGAAGGATTCTGTGGGCAAAATACTGAATGACACCAAAAACAATGTACCAAAAAGAACCATTTCTGGAAGTATCAAATGAGCAAGAACCAGTGATACCAACAGAAAAATTCTTTGCTGCACTGAAGGCAGTAGATTGAAAAAACATTGAAATTGTCAAGGATTTCATTTTACTTGAATGCACAAGCAACACTGGTGGGAGCAGAGTCAAGAAATCAAAAGATGTGTTGCATTGGGAAAATAGGCTCTCGAGGTTTTCTCCAAAGTTCCAAAGAGCAAGGATGTCACTTTAAAGACTAGGTTGCTACTGATTCAAGCCATGGTATTTTCAGTTGCTTACTATGCATCTGAAAGTTGGACATGAATAAGGATGCCAGAAGAATTGATGCCTTTCCATTGTGGCGTTGGTGAAGAATATTGAATATCCTATGGACTGCCAAAAGAGCCAACAGGTCTGCCTTGGAGGAAATGCAACCAGGGTGCTCCTTAGAGGCAAATGTCATGAAACTTCATCTCATATATTTTGGGCATGTTCTCAGGAGGGGCCAGTCTTCGGAAAAACACGTGTTGGGAAAGAGAAGAATGCAGCGAGATAGATTGACACAGTGACTGTAACAATGGGCTTAAGAACGGTGGAGGTCTGTTGATTATGGAATCACTCATCTAGCCATGAGTTGTAGTTGACTCTATGGCCCCTAACAAGAAGAAGAAGAGCGTCCGACGGAAGGTTCCTGTAGCTATTGGATAAGAACTAAATGGATAGAGTGTCTTTTTACCATTGAGTCAGAACCAACTTGGAATTGACTTTCCATTGGGTTTCCAAGGCTGTAAATTGCATGAGAGCAGACTGCCCCCCTTCTCCCACAAGTAGCAGACCCCTGAGAAGTGATCTCTTTGGGATAGCAGCACACAGACCTAAGCTACCAGAGCTGCCTAGTGGATAGAGGAAGTATCTGTCCATGTTGGAGATGTCTTATGAAGGCCATGATGTGGATTTTGTATTTTATCCAAAGTGCAGTTAAAAACAAAGGTGGATAAATAAGTTTTTAAAGCAGACCTGGCTCCTTGATTGGGGAATAAAATAGGAAGCAAGGAGAGGAAAGAGAGGACAAGGGAAAACTGGAAATAGTAAGGACAGTATGAAATCGTCCAGCTAGGGGTAGAAGTGGTCTGGCAGTTCAGTGAACATGAAGAGAAGTTGATAGAACTAATCTGTTGGCAGTTAAAGGAATGTAGTAACCTCTTTTCCCCAAAACCTTTAAAGTCAGCTTCTAAAATAGCCTACTTTTCCAGTTCTAGGGCTCTGATGGATTAGTGGGTAGAGTGTTGCATTGCCAACTCAAAGGCAGGCAGTTCAATTCCAACAACTGCCCTGTGGAGGAAAAATTGAGTCTCCCCTAGTGTGATTTAAAGCCTCTATAAACCTGCTGGAGGGTCAACTATGAATTCCAGCAGCAATGAATTTTTTCCAATTCTAAATTTCTAGATGATAAAGCAAGAGGACTTCAATATCAAATTGACTAAAGTCATTCAGAATAAAAACAAATTTGTAATCTTGGCAGTATTTCGAAGAACTCTGTATAAATAGAACCCATGGGGATTCACAAGCCATTGGGGGAGAGAGTAAATAGTAGGTCTGTATTCTGTAATAAATTAAGTGTTGGAGGAGAATTGAAAGCTAGGCTTTATTTCCAAAGAGGAGGGGATAGAAAATTCAAACATTTTTAAGTTGGGATAATGACCCAAGATTCTTCTCTGTATTGTTCACTTAAAAATATTGGCCAACCTACAGTGAAAAGATTACTAATGCAAAAACATTTCATATGACCCCGACCCCAGAAGCCAGGAAATGGCCATCATCCTTTCAGAAAAGCTTCATGGTTGCTTTCATAAAGTCTTGCTTTGATGCCCTAGAAACTAGGGGATGGTACAGCATATTAATTAAAGTAGCCATTAGTAGGAACTGGCCCAACTCCATTCTGCAGTTTATCACCAAGGATAAGTGAACTCTAAATCTTGGTTTACTAATCTGTAGAGACAATACCACCTCATAGGGTTTTAAGTATTTTAAAAGGAGACTGTACCGTGTACACAGACTTCGCACACTAGCCAGACATGCTTGCGTACATACTCTCTATCCACACTTGTTCCTAAAGTTATAGATGATATAGTAGATTAAAGATGGTCACAAATGCTTTTAACAATCTTTATCAAGAATTACCTTTTCTCCTCTGTCTGGACTCGAGCAATAAAACACCATAGAAGTACTGTTTTGCCAATTTCCAGTCCCAGGTCTCAAGAGACTGGAAGCGTCCACTTTCTCCTCTGGATATAGTGGTTCTTGGACCCACCTGCAATGCTGTGAGACACTCCAAACTTTCCTGTGGAATAACTAAGAAAAAGGTGCACGTGTGCACACAGACTTAGACACACTTGTTCAGCCAACAGCCACAGTTGAGCCAACACCAGTATTCCAGCTATACCAGTGAGTAATCTTGGAAGAGATTCCTCCAACACCATTTCATCCACTCTGGCTAATGTCAAATTCGACAGGGATCAGTTGTCCCTGCCAAGCCCTATCTAAATTCTAGATTGGTCAGTAAGATTAATTCTTTGATGCCACTACCTTTTCCAGGAGAGTTTGTAACAGTAATAGCCAGAACAGATTAAACCACCGGTGTCCGGGCTGCAAATTTTAAGGAAGGAGATTGCTCGTCTCTCCCTATCTCTGTCTCTCTGTTGAGTCAGAGCCAACTCATAGCTGAACCCCACCCGCTACGGTTTTAGAAGGCAGTAAATCGTATGGGAGCAGTTAGCCCCGTTTTCCCCTTAACGGCTCTGAGATTTTATCTTGCTTTGGACCTTTTTCATCCACCTTTAACTTCCGACTTGACAGCAATGAGTTGGTTGTTTTGTCTTGCGTTTTTCAATCTTCATTCCAGACCTCTCGTGGCCTAGTTCCTTCTCTAGTGGAAAGCAGATGGGCAGTCTCCTCTCATAAAGATTTACAGCCTAGGAAACCAATGGAAGGGGTGGCGGAATTGAAGGCAGTGAATAAGTGTTCTTGGAAAAAAGCTATCTGATTTGTAATTGGTTGCTCAATGTGGTTCTGTCAACTCATCTTGGACATTTCGCCAAGAAACCAGCTGCTACTGCTTCATAACCTTTATGATGTAAAGATTATGTAAATTGCAAGTAACTCTTGTCAGTGCTTGTAACTAGACAACTTCTCCACGAGGGGGAACTGTCTTGTGAATCAGATGTCTGTAAAATTTTATTTAAAAGATTCAAGAATTGGCTTTCCATTGATTTTTTCAGTTAACAGTGCACTTAAAACGTGCTTTAGTACTGATCAACACACTACATGATACAACTTATACATAAATTGCAAATGAGAACATTGAGACTCTTAGTTTCAAGCTATCTCTCAACTGACCGTGACGTGAGACTTCATCACTACTACGCAGCGCACGAACATTAACGTAAACACAGGCCGCGCGGCGAAGCTTTACGACTTCTCTCCTTCCCGTCCATTCTTCTTCCTGGTTTTCTCCCGCCCCTGGCGGCGGGGAGCGCGCCCTGTGATTTGCTGGCGGGAGCTCCGGGGCGGAAGGAGGTGGGCGAAGGCGGGTGGCCATGGTGACGGGGGCGGGGCGCGGTGCCCAGTGGTCATTAACCGACGTGTGCGGGCCGTATCGCACGCGGAGCGGCCTGGCCGCGGCCCCAGCAGCCTGAGGCCCCGGCGGGTGGCCTTGTGCAGCGCAGCCGACGCGCCCTCGATGCAGCAGGAGCTGGGAGGAACCGAGTGGAGGCCGGGCCCCGAGCGCCTGCGGGCTAGGAAGCCACCTGGCTGGGGCGCCCGCAGACATGGACGCCTTAGAGGAAGAGAGCTTCGCGCTGTCCATGTGAGTGTTGCCTCGGACTCGGTTCTGTGAAACGGGTGTCCTCAGAGGATTGGCCTCTGCCAATCTGGATTCTGCGACCACCAGGCCGCGGGGCAAGTCTGCTGGACCAGAAAGCAGAGTGGTGTCTGGTTATCACGCCCCTCATTACCCGTCCCCCAGCCCCCGAGGCCTCTTGGTCATCTAGACCAAGTCCCGACCCAGAGTCCAGCGATCCCCTCCTCCCTACTGGCCACTGTCTTCATCCACGCAGATAAGAGTGGCGTGATGATGAATGAAGATGCAGCAGACAATTGAAGACTTATGTCCGATACGAGCCTTTGATTCCTTTGGCTGTTTTGTAATTCAGTGTCCCATAGTCAGACTTTTTAAAAATTTCTACCTGCATGTCATGGATGCACTCTGAGATTACTAAATTAGATTCTTAATTGTAGAAGCTGGGATGTTGTGAAGTTCATTTTAGTTTTAGTTTTGCAGATATTAAAATGTTTGGGGTTGGGTTTGGTGTGTGTTTTTGTTTTAAGTCAGTGAATTGTTTAAGACAGCATCTAATGCAGGCTTATTAATTTTTAGCTCTTCAGCCTCTGATGCAGAATTTGATGCTGTGGTCGGGTATTTAGAAGACATCATCATGGGTAAGTTTCTTCGCCACAGCCTGACCTGTGCTGGATCTAATTTGTTCTCCAACTCTTGCTTTTAAGGACATTGAACTAAATGTAAAGGCTTTCTCCTTAAAGAGAGAAAACATCAAGCTGCATATAATTATTGTTGATAGGTGTCATTAAGGCAGCCATGATTCATGGTGATATAGACATAAACAGATTGGAACCTTCGCCTGCCCTGTGCCATCCTCATCATCTCTGACATACTTAATTCCACTGATACTGTGTCACCGTGTCATTCCATGTTGTTGAGGGTCTTTCTTGTGTCTGCTGACCCTCTCCCTTCCAAAGCATGTTGTCTTGTTCCAATGACTGGGCCCTCCTTACAACTCAGGTTATAGTTTCTCTGACACATACTTGTTGATACTTTGGGAAGTCCACGGGATATTCAGTACTCCTTTCTACCACCACAACTCATAGACATCACGGTTTCTTCTGTCATCCTTATTCACTGTCCTACTTTCAGATACATACCAAGTAATGGAAAAGACCATGGCCTGGATCGGGTGCACCTTAGTCTTTAAACTGACATCAGTGCTCATTAGCACTTTGGCAAGGTCCTTGACAGCAGATTTTTCCCAGTGTAACACGTCTTTTGATTTCTTGACTTCCCATGCCACAGGTGTTGATGGTGGATCCAAGTAAAAAAATGAAATCACTGACAACTTCAAACTTTTCTCCATCTATCATGATGTTGCCTGTTGATCAGTGGTGGGAAGTTTTGTTTTCTTGAGGATGAGATGTAATCCACACTGTTAGTGTAGTGTAATACGATATTAAAGAGTCTTGGTGCCCAGTAAATGAAATGTCCATAGTGTAGACCCACCCGCTGCTCCTCAGGAGAAAGAGGCCGCAGTCTGCTCCCATAACCGTTTTATACCCTTGGAAACCTGATTGCAGTTCTGCCTAGGGATGCAGTGAGTTGGCACTGATTTGTCTGGCAGACTTGATTTTCCTTAAAGGCAAATAGCTGGGTACTTCTAATAATGGTCATAGTCTTATGACCTTGAAGGGACTTCATTTAGGTAATGGGGGCACTTAAAAAAAAAATCAAGAAATGCTAACATAAGTTATTTTTATATATGAGATTTTGTCTTTTCCGATAGTGTTGAGTTTTAGCAGTGTCAGGCTTTACAGCACAGCATAAAATCACGATCATAAGCTATTGCTCACAGAGAAAACCAAGGTGTCAGACTTCAGTAGGCTCTGTGTTTCCTTAGGTTTGGGGTTTTCACTCGTGGGTTTATTTTAGCATCTGTTACTCCTGTTCAGTAACAGATAAACAGCAGCAGGCACCTAAAGTTTCAGACAAATATGCAGGAGAGAAAAGCTTAAACTGGAGATTATTCTTTTAAGTTTTCTGACACTAGTTTCTGTATATAGCACAGTTCAGTTGTGTGTCTGAAAATCACTAACCATGTTTTTGTCCCTTCAGGCCCTATAAAGGTTCGTGCCCTTAAATTCTAAATGTAGTTGTTTTTCCATTAAACCCTCATCCCTTGTGTAGATAGCTGAGTAATACTGAGCAGTCTACTGACCTCCGTTGCCCCGTCTGCATAGTCTGTATACTGAAGGAAAATAAGACTTTTTCTAAACCCAGAGTATGTATCTCAAAACTTGAGTTCCTGGGAAATTTCCCTTTTCTTTTTAGAAATAATACTCTTGCAGGTGTTAGATTTCCTACCATGTATTAATTGCTTACTGTGAACTCACTTTTACATAAATCCACTTTGCAATCCTTTTGACATAGTTATAGACATGATTTTAATTTTTAGGAAGAAACTTAGGCTTAGACAAATTAACTAGCCTGAGGTCACATGACTTGGCTGAGGGAAAATTTAGACCCATACATTCTGGCCTCTGTCACAGTTTGTACTTGGACTGTATTCTAGCTGCACTTCTGCAAGACAAATTGTTTCTTCATTTGACAGTCCAGTGTATATTCACTACCCACCAAATGCCACAATCTCTCCTTTGGTCTTTATTCATTGTCTGACTTTTAGATGCCTGTTTCTAAAAAATGGCTTGGATCATGTGCAAACTGACAGCAGCCCTGTGCTGGTTTTCCAAGGCTGTGAATCCTGATAGGAGGAGACAGCCCCTCTTTCTTCTTCAGGGCAGCTGGGAGATTTGAACCCTGGCATCTTGGGGCCTTTTGGTTAGCGTGCACCATGCTACAGACTGCACCACCAGAGTTGCTCATTAAAAGAATACATTTTCCCTATTATGGTTCAGATGATGCGTTCCAGTTGCTTCAGAGAAATTTCATGGACAAGTACTACCAGGAGTTTGAAGACACAGAAGAGAATAAACTTACCTACACACCTATTTTTAATGAATATGTAAGTAGATTTCTGTTTCTTTTACCAGGATATTAAGATTTCTTTAAAATTTACATTTAGAATCAAGAAATGTTAAAAATATACTCTTTTTTTTCCTACAAGAAAAAAAAATGCACCACCAGTGCACTGCCAGGGGATTCTACTCAGAATCGGGTTTAAGTAGCAACTCAAGTCCCATTATTTCTCGGCCCAGTTGTTTTTCTCTTTTTCCAAAGACTTTGAGGCCGACTAGTTGACCACAACCCTGTCTTCAGTGATAAGGATTCAACACACATTTATATACCCATACACTATTATTCTCTATTTCATAATCATGAGGAAAGCATGACTGTTAGTGAAAGTGAAAACTGGAGAAAAAGTGAGAAAGTGAAAAACTGAGAGCAAGGTCTTACTTACCAAAAACAAAGCCCACGGTGTTCTTGTTAACATCCGGTCAGGGGCCCTTACCTAGTTTGGTATCAAAATTCAGACCTAAAAGCTTGACCCTTAGGCCTTTCTACTATAGCCTGATGCTTCTGACAGCCTCCTGGGATTATCTCTTCTGCCTAAGAATAGGTTTAAATCTGCAGGACTTTTTCTTAACCTAGAAACTTGGTATAATCTATGAAGGTGGCTTCCTTGAGTCAAGCCTCAGTTTATATGAAACTTGCTGAGAAGAAACTTGTTAACTTCCTCCAAGTGTATGCTTTTTTAATATGTTATTTTAGCACAGATCTACCCACAAAGAAAATCCCCTACTTTTGTCATCATTTCTCCTTGTTAAGGGGTTAGGGACCCTGCTGTTTAGTCTTTACCTGTATTAGAGCATCCAGCCTGTTAACAATGGAATTCGCTGTGAGGGCCTCTCTCCCCTCAGGAATTGTTTGTAAGACAAGCTTTGTGAAAGAGAAGTCTTCTTTTCCTAACGTATGGTCTGACCAAGGTGCTTGCTACTCTTACAGATTTCTTTGGTAGAAAAGTATATTGAGGAGCAGCTGCTGGAGCGGATCCCTGGGTTTAACATGGCAGCTTTCACAACAACATTACAGTGAGTGGCTCCTGAGATGCTGGAACGTTGGATAGCTTCTCTTCCTTTTCCTTTCTCCCAAACTTAAAAACCTATGGCTGTTGGGTTAGAGCCGATTCCCAGCTGGTCCTGCAGTGGGCTTTCAGTTGTTACTCACATGGGAGGAGGTTGCTGTTCTTTCTCCTGCAGAGCTGCTGGTGGATTCAGACCCCCTGAAGGGCCACCTTTGGGCTCGGAGCTCAACTCTGCCACCCCCTGCGGGCCGCGCCACCAGAGCGCCCTCCTTCCTCTATCGAGTCCCTTTTTTCAGTGTCTGAATGGTCAAGGCCTTTGAAGCACTTGCCTTCAAAGCCTTTGAAACCCTGCGAGTGTGTTGCCTCATTGATTCCTGAAAACAGTCATCCTTTCCTCTTACAGGCACCATAAAGATGAAGTGGCTGGGGACATATTTGACATGCTGCTCACATTCACAGATTTTCTGGCTTTTAAAGAAATGTTTCTGGACTACAGAGCAGTAAGTCACCTCTTGTTTAGTTAGCTCCACAGAAGGTTCTGATTACAGGGCAGAAGAGAGCCGTTCCCTAACAGACTGTAGTTGTGGTGTGCTGTCGAGTCGGAACCCACTCCGCTGACCCTCCAGCGGGTTCGCAGAGGCTATAGACTGCATGAGAGATTACCCAGCCTTCTCCCGCCTATAACGTTTGTTGTTGTGTGCCGTTGAGCTGGAACCGGCCCATCGCTGACCCTCCGGCAAGTTTTCAGAGGCAGTTAATCACATGGCAGGGGATTGCCCATCCTTCTCCCGCAGAGCAGCTGGTGGATTTGAACCGTGTGCCATTGGGATTGCAGCACAACTTCTTGCCACCAGCTCACCAGTGCTCCAAGACTCTAAACCTTTATAGGTGCAACTGTTGAGTTTGAACTAGCAGCCTTTTGCTTAGCAGCCCAAGGCTTAACTACAGCACAACCAGAGTTCTTCAGCACCATCTCATTATCCCTAAAAAAATCAGAAGGGCAAAACCAAAAATCAGTTCGTGTTCCACTATTCTTTTCTTAGAATCCAGGCTCTTATGGGATGAGGAAAAGTTTTTCAAGAGTCTTACTTTTGCTAAGTGGCCAAGGCCAGAGTTGAGCAAAATGCAGAATAACCTCCTCTCCATTCCGATGTAGCCCCCTGACCATAATGTATCCTGCTTGGAGCTACTCCTCCTCCTCCTCTGTACCAGATGCTGGATTCTGAGCTAGGAAGCATTCCTTCCCGCTTCCTTCCCCTCAAGTTGTTTCTTTTTTCACTTAGGAGAAAGAAGGCCGAGGACTAGACTTAAGCAGTGGATTAGTGGTGACTTCGTTGTGCAAATCTTCTTCCCTGCCAGCCTCCCAGAACAATCTGCGGCACTAGGTGCCTTCTCTGGCCCAGGGACTCATCTGGACGTCGCCAGCCCAAAACACTGGGAGAGGCTAATGATGGCAGTATCCACCCTGGAAGGACTGTGGAACTCTTCTCCAACTCTTCTTCTTGTTAAATATTGTGTGTCAAAAAGAACATTTCCTGACCCTCCTGGGGCTCTCTCCTGAACACCCTCTTATATTCAATAATCCCAATATGCCTCCCACAGTACACGCCTCAGGTGCTCCCACGTCAGATGCTCCCTCTGCAGCACACAGTGTGCGGTAACCACCGTCATGAACTTGCTTTGTCACAGCTAGCTTTAGAGGAATTGACACAGCTCTCGCTCGGCTCAGTTTTCGGCCCTTCAGCCTCAGTGGCCCACCTGTACAGGATCTTTGATCAGGAGTGTCTATGTGTTTTTCAAAACAACTGTCCATCTTGTCATTTCCTATTCACACAGCTAACCTTGTGGGACTCTGCCAAGAGCCACCCTTTCTTCATCTAACAGCTCCAGGTGAAAATCATCTCCTGGACATCCGTATATATTACATATTATATATATATATATATATATATATCATTGTAGTCCACTGATCCTAATGTAGTCCCACTGTTCGTAGTCTTTCAAACATTTTTTTTTAAATATTTTTATAGATGAATACTCAGGCTCAACTAGTGGATCTAATCTTGGGAAAGCCCTGATTACCCACTTCAAGATCAAAAGTATTATATGCTATGTGCTTTTTAGCTTTTAGTGCTACGAAGGCAAAATGCTGTCTCCGTTGGTATTGCTGTTTCGCTGGGCACCAATGAATGTATGCTGTGCTAAACATAGACTAGAAGTAGTCTTTTTCTATAGCATGTTCAGAGTGTTTGGGCAATTTGCATACTATCCTTTATGTTCGTGAGGCTGGCTTTTGGGGCGCGGGCTGTGGGGAAACCTGTGATTGCTAATCCTTCCTCCTGTCAGAGTCTCTTTTACCAAGACTGGTACGGTGCTTTGCGGAGCTCAGCATGAGGAGCACGTGAAAGACGGCTTGAACGATTATGTCTCACTCTGGTTTCGTCAGATGCTTGCTATGACCAGAAACATGTACAGTGCATCTTTACGGGGGAAAACAGTTTAATACCCAATTTGTACCTTTATTGGTTTAGGGGGAATTTTTTTTTTTTTAAATAAAATATTCTATACCAAATTCTCACTTGGCTCTTCCGGTTTTAAAGGGTGGGTGAGCTGCAGGTTGTTTCCTTGCAACAACGTCACTTAAACACTTTTGGATCAGAAGTAGCATCAGTTATTTTGCAAGAGCTCGGTCATCATAGAGCCATTGCCTTTCTTAACGATAGCTGCCATCTGGTTATTGCTGCCTGAATGGGGCCTTTGAAGGCAAAGGCCTTCTGTTTTACACCCAGCTAGTTTTGTGTTTTGGTGTCCAAAATTCTGTTTCTTGATATAATTTCCATTCGTCTTGATTTTTTTTTCCTTAAGGCTGCTTCCATCTGAAAGAGCATCCTTCTGTAAGCCCTGCTTTTCCTCCTGTAGGCTGTCAGAAAACAGCGGAACAGCCAACACACACAACTAGTGTTTATGCATAGCTGAAGACTGGTGGTTTTATAGCATCCTGGACATTTCACATCCATGAAAAAGGAATTCAGGCTCTGTACCAGGCACTGCTTCTTGTGTTTCTTCTCCTCTGCTGGAGAGGGATGAAGGAAATCCTTTGCGAGAGGCATGTTGGCATGCGGAGGTCACCGCTGGAAAGGCTGTGTTTTGTTTTTGTTTTTAATTTATTCTGTTGTGTGTATACCATTAAATCAGATCTGACTGGTACAAGAGGAGATTGCCCCTCCAGAGCTAGTGGTTTTTTTTGTGGTGGTGGTGGTTTTTTTTCACAGCTAGTGTTTTAAGATGCCGCCTGACCTGAGCTCACTGTCCCTTCTTGCTCTACTGTAAATGGGCCTGCCTGTCACTGGTCATTGTGCAGAACTGGCACTTGATGGCGAACTTTGGTAGAGAAGAGCAAGGAGACACGCCCAAAGACGAGAGGATGGAAAGCAGCGAGAAGACAGATTATCCCCCTCTTGCTGCTCAGAGAAAGCAGGCAGGCCCTGCTTTAGAAAACAGTCTGATTTCTTAGAGGAACAAAACCAGAACTCTACTCTCCATCCAGAAGCGGGATTGTGATGCCAAGTGCCAACTCTGATGGGGCTCGGGCCTGGCCTGGGCTGAGCAAGCCCCAGGAGATGGGTGCCGTCAAACCTCTGGAAGCCGCATTTACCCAGATGTAGTGGCTAAGGACTGGGTTGAGCCAAAAGGTTGTTGTTTGCACCACAGTGTTAATGATGTCTCTACTGAAATCGGTGGTTTGAGAGATTCAGAAATCTAGTAAAAGGGCTAAGCTCGTTAATTTGCCTGTTGTTAAGTGCCACCGAGTCATAGATGATTTACAGTTACCTTATGAACAAAAGACCTGAACACCTGTATAACTTTCATCATTTCTCCAAGTTCACAGTTAATTTGTCTAGAATTTTATTCTCTTAAGCCTCAAGTGAACATAGACTGATACTCCTTGAAGCTCATCAGAACTGATATATAGCTCAAACCGAGACTCTTAATAAAAATAGGATGTTAAAATTTACACTAGGACAGCAGGCATAACTGGTCCCGTCTCACATAAAATGGGGCTGTTATTTTTGTTGTTATGGGCCATAAGGTCAAGTATGACTCATGGCGACCCTATGAACAAGAGCTCTGAACCCTGCTCTATCTTGAGCCAATCTCACTGTCTCTGACACACCTGCCCCTGTTGCCACAGACACTGTGTTAATCCGTTTGATCCAGGGTTTTCCACTCCTGCCCTGACCCTCCACCCTTCCAAGCATGATGTCCTTCTCCAAGAACTAGTCCCTCCTGGCAACATGCCCAAATTATGTGGGAGAGTCTTATAATCCTTGCCTCCAAGAAGCAGCCTGGTTTCACCCACTCCAGGATGAACCTGTTTGTTCTCTTGGCTGTCCATGGTATGTTCAAGACTCCTATCCAGCACCACAGCTCAAAGGCTTTGATGATTCTTCTGTCATCCTTAGTCACTGTGTAGCTCTCAGATGCACAGCAAGTTACTGAGAAGACCATGGCTTGGATCAGGCGCACCTTAGTCTCTAGACTGACATTGTTGCTCCTTAGCACACAGGAGCGGTCCCTGACAGCAGCACACTTTCCCAAAGCAACTTGTCTTGATTTCTTGAGTGCTAGTGCCAAGAGTGTTAATTGTGGATCGAAGCAAGATGAAATTGTTAAAAACATCAGTCTCTTCTCCATGGGGTAGCAGGATGCTTTATTTAACCCCCTATCCATTAGTAATGGGATAGGCTCATCCATGTTTGACTATAATTGATTTTAACTGTTGCCAGTTCTTTATTTTCCTTGTTTTTAAAGCACTTGTGGAGTGCGTAAGCTTCCTCTGTTGGTGAAGGAGAATGCTGGTCTGCCCCATTAAAACAATAAGCTGACTTCTCCTGAGCCTGCAGCTCTGAGTCTAGCGCATCTGGGGTCCTGCGTGGGCAGCCACTTTGACGGGATTATCACTGGACCAAACACTCTTACAGGTGGTGGTGGTGGTGGTTGTGTACTGTACAGTCACAACCAACCCATAGCTCACTGATCAGAGGCAGTTAATCACAGGAGAGGAGATTGTGCACCTTTTCCCACGGAGCGGCTGATGGATTTGAACCCCGTGCCTTCGGGATTGCAGTGCAGCTTCTTGCCACTAGGCCATCGGAGCCCCCTCCCTTCCAGGTAGGTGACCTATAGAAATGTCAGTTCAGCAAAGCAGCTTAACTGGTCTAAAGCGAGGGAGACGAAACTGCAACGCTTTGAAAAGAAGGGTGGGGGCTGGTGGGAGGCTGCTGTCAGCTTATGCCATGACAGATGGCAAAACCAGACTGCTGGAGGTAAAGTCTGGCACAAAAGAATCCCGTTCCTCAGGCCACAGAACTGACTAGCAGTGCTAAATGATAAACTTGAGTGGCTCGGAAACAGGCATTTTGAGACCTTTGCATAGTCATAATTTGGAGCTTCTGGGAGTTCGTTCACAAACTTCTACAACCACAAGTCCTCACTAGCTTTTTCAGTTAAGTGTTTCCATCTTTATTTTTGGTAAAAAAAAAAAAAACCAAACCCACACACAGTGGACACTAATAAGGTCACCACCAGCTACATGACCCGCTCACCGGCTACGTGTGGATCCCCTCCCTCAATTTCACGTCCCATGAGCCTAATCAAGTGTCGGGGAGCCATCAGCACTGACGGGGAGCGTTGCCCCAAAGGGACTATTAAAAACCAAAGGCTCGGGGAAATCTGGACAGGGATTTCATCATGGAGCTGAGGCTAAAAATGGGTGATTTTTAAATAACCAGTTTGAAATGCAGGGAAGGAAGATTACGCCATCAAAAATCATCCTCTTGGCTTGTGGGTGGAGGGAGGCAAATAGTATTTAAAAAAATCAGAAATCGTGTCAGGAATTGGCTTCGCAACAAAGACAAAGGATAAATACACGAGTTGCTTGTTAGCCTTACATTTATAGCGGGTCGGGGCTGCAGAGCTGAGGAACCTCTGTTAGTGCATTTAGAGCTGATGAGAAGGGCGGCTTCTGGCCTTGGACGCTGGCACCCTCTAAGGAGAAAGCAGAGTGAGAACTGTGTCCCGTCATCTTCCGTTGGATGGGGCTGAGGAGGAGGGCTCTGTCGCTGGCCTGTTTCCAGCCCACGTATGTGCCGACTTGAGTCAGACTCAGGACTGTGTGAGAGCTCGGCTGGTGAGCAAGGAGAGTCGGCCTGGCTGGCTTCCCGCAGGACTCCCACTTGGCGCCCGGGCCTGCAGCGTGAGCCGAGCGTGCCCTTGAGCGGCACAGGGCGCTGAGGGGCAGCAGGGAGATTAGGCATAGCCGCTTGTCATCTGACTGGTGGCTGCGTTGCTGCCCACTCCTCGCCAGGCCTGGAAGCTGAAGAAGGCGCTCACTCCATAGGCAATCATCACTAAACACGCAAAGAACTGCAAGAGAGGGAGAGAAAGGGAGCAAGACTCAGTCTCAGGGTGGCACTGACAGAGGGGGGCAGTGATACACAGACCACACCCTCCGGCAGACACAGAGAAACCCTGACTTAACCCCCTTCAATATACCTGGACAAGTTGTAGCAGTTCACATTACCTGTTATTACTGGATTTCAAAACACCATTCTCATCAGGACTATGGGGGAAACCCAAGGCTTGGTGGTCTAGATCTTAACCCACCCTGGGCTGCCATGATTCTGCTGTTGTGTCCCATCAAGTCAGAACCAACCCTCCAGCGGGTTGCAGAGGCCGTAAATCGCACAGATTTCTCATTTTTCTTTCAGGGAGCAGCTGGTAGACTTGAACCATGTACCTTTGGGAATTGCAGTGCAGTTCCTTACCACTAAACCATGAGAGCTCCCTAGTCCCATGGCTCTAGGCATGATGAAATAATTCCTCTGAGCCTTGGTTTCCTTGTCTGTCAGAAGATTTACTCAGTCCCTGCCCCTTCTCCCTTACAGATGAGTCTCAATCCGTGAGACAGTAGTGGACCCACGTGTCCTCAGGGAATAAACAGCGACAATTTTGTCAGAGACCATTTCACCTTGAATCCAGGTTTGGGCTTCTAAGAACGCTGTTGTTATTGTTAGGTGCCCAGAAGTCACGGTGACCCTAACAGAATGGACACTACCAGGTGCTGGGCTCCCTCACATTCACAGCCATGTTCAAGCTCACTCTTGTATCATCTGTGTCACTCCATGTCATTAAAAGTTGTCCTCTTTTTTCACTGACCCTCTACCTTTTCAAACCTAGTGCTTTCTCCAGAGACTGGTCTCTCCTGATAACACATTTTCACATGGCCTCACCGTCTTCCATTCCACGGAACTCTATTCCGGTGGGACTTCTTCCCAAAATAGACGTGTTCATTCTTACGGCAACCCGGGGTATATTCCATGTTCTTTCCCAACACTATAATGCAAAGGTGTCTGTTCTACTTTTGCTGTCTTTATTCATTGTTCAGCCTTTGCATGTATAGGAGGCAAATGAAAAGACCATTTAGAAAAGATCATTTAGTTCAAGCACACTTCAGTTCTCAAAGTGACACCACTGCTTTTCAATGCTTTGAGCTCTCCAACGTAGTATATTACTAGATTTCTTCACTACTGCTTCCACGGGTGTTGGCAGTGGACCCAGGAGAAGGGAAGTCTTAGATGAAGCCAGTCTTTTCCTCCATGTATCATGACCCTCCTTATTTGCCCAGTTGTGAGGATTTGGCTTTCTTTGATGCGGAGGGGTAATTCACACGACAGGCCATAGGTTTTGCTTGTCATCAGTAAGTGAAATCAATTTCGGTAAGCGAAGTTGTGTCATCTGCATATCACAGTGGTTCCTCCTCTGGTCCAGCTTTTCTGATCATTTGCTGAGCGTACAGATTAGACAAGTGTGGTAAAAGTGTACAGCCCTGACACACACCTTCTCTAATACCAAATGCCACAGTGTTCTCTGCTGCTTGAAATGTTCTTTCCGAAAATATGCTGCCACTTCTCTTCCAGAGACTCATACAGAGACTGACTGCCCAACTCAAAATGACCAATGCCAATCCGTTTCAACTCACTAGTGGCTAGGACACCAGTCTTCAAGTTTTCCATTTCAATTTTCATAACCTCCAATCTCCCTAGAGAGTGTATGCATCCCAAGCTCCATTTATTCCTCTTACTGTTGGTCTGTACTGTTGAATTGAAACTGACTCATTAACGACTCTTCAGCGGGTTTTTAAAGACTACTGATCGCATGACAGGAGACTGTCCACCTTTCTCCGAAGGATCAGCTGGTGGATTGGAGCCACTTGCCTTTGAGAAGCAGCACAACGCCTTACGCACCCAGAGATCTGATTATTAATAGGCGTTTATGGCCATACTGCCTTATTCTTAAGATTACCACATCGGCAAATCAAAGTCCACAAACCTTACTCCAGCCTCCTCAATCAGGTCAATGCTAAGGAGGCATCTCCCCTCTCGCTGTGCTGATGCCTCTCAACCTGAGAGACTCATCTTCCATCAACATCACACTGTCCTGCTGCTATCCATATCCATATGGTTTTCACTGGCCAGTTTTTTGGGGTTTTGTTTGTTTTTTTTTTTAAAAGAAACAGGTCCATTTTAAAGAAACAGAACCATTTTTTCCTCCTAGCCTGGCTTAGTGTGGCAGCTTCACTGAATGCTGTCCACCGAGGTGACCCCATTGGTGGGAGAAATACCAGTAGGTAGTTTATATACCTAAATCCACTGAAATGATTTTACTTCTCAAAGGGAGAAAGATTCCCAGCTTCTGACAGGTTATCCAAGAGATAATTTGATTCTAAATCAATGCGGTGTAGTATCTTAGAGAAAAGTTCAGCCATCAATTGTTGTTGTTGTGTACCATTGAGTTGCAACCCATACGACCCATAGCTGACCCTCCAGCGGGTTTTCAGAGGCAGTTAATCACACAGGAGGAGACTGCCCATTGTTACAGACCGAGGGTAAAGTAATTTTATAATTATTAATAATGAGACAAACAGCCAGGAATGAGATATAGCAGAGATCATGAAAAACAGGGGGCCAGCAGTTCTCGACTGAATACCCCAAGTCGTGTTTCCCTGTGTATTTATTGATAATTAGGGGAAGCAAATCATAAAAGGAATTACTTGTAAATGAAGCCAAATTGTTCTCTATTGTCAACCTAAAGCTCTAGCTCAGGAAGTATTTCACAGGTAGTAACACTCCCTCTGTACGGGGCCCCAGCTGTCTCCTGTCTGCAGGGAACAAACAGCTCATTTTCTGGGATCTGCCACAAGAGAAATCCTAACTTATAAATTTGTAATTCCTTCAATTCCTGAACAAGGGTTTTCATATAATATTTGGTATAAAGTTTGGCTGGTGGATTTCCACTGCATCCCTTTAAGATTGCAGTGCAGCTTCTTGCCACTAGGCCACCAGTGTTCCCTTAAAATGTCATTAGCCACTGTAATAAACCATTCCCCAAACATTCTGGTCCTTTTCAGAGTATTAAAGCAACCAGAACATTAGCCCAGCCCCCCTCTGGGACACACAGAGGTCAGGTCATAACCACTCAGTGCTCAGCCTTAGACGAAGGGGGCAGTGTGGGCCGGGTGCCCTTCCCTTGGCCGAGTGGCCCGTGGACTGTCCAGCAAGCCCCGGGGGAGGATACTCACAGAGGCCGCAGCGCGCTGGTTATACGGCCTAGTGCCCTTCAGCGATGTCAGCTCCACGGCAGCCGAGCAAGTGATAAAGGCGGTGATGTACAGCACCGTGGCACCAACATTGAAGATCATTAACTGCAGGAGAAAAAGCTTACGCTTCAAAAGTTGTGAAACCTCCCAGTTTGCACCAGCAAAGCCCAGTAGGAGTCAAAACACACTGGGACTCAGGGACAGGAGTGGAGACACCTTTCCCATTAAAAGGACCCCAGAAAGCAGCAACCCAGCACATGAGGCCAGAGGGGGGACTCGGAGCAAAAGCATGAAAGCGAGGAGCGGGCAGGGAAAATGACACGCAGGCCTCAGGCTGAACGACGCACCCGTCCATGAAAAACCCATTCCTGCTGGCAAGAGACTGACCCCGACTCCCTCATCTCTGAGTGGTCACGGCCAAACCCCATCCCAGTAGCCCTTCATGCCCCCACCAGCCCAGAGCCACAAGCTGGGGCGACACTCCAAGGAGGTCACTGGGCTGAACTGGCCAGGCCAGGGGAGACCCCACCGAGTCCCACAAAAGGGCTCAGAGCCTCAGCTGGCTCCTCCCTACAAGCAGATCAAGTGCCCCTTGGGGGCCAGTTAAGAGTCTTTAATGAGGCTGCAAATTGGGGTCACAGATTGTCTTCTTTCATAATTACCAATATTTTTAATTGTTGTTATAATTAGGTGCCCTCAAGCGGGCTTACGAGCGACTCTGTGAACAGACCTGAACCTTGCCCGATCCTGTGCCGTCTCTACCTCCTTTACGCCCAAGCCCTGTCAATCACTGTTGAGTCCTTCCTGTCGAGGGTCTTCCTCTCTTTCACTGACCCTCTACCTTTTCTAGTGTCAAGTCTTCTCTGTAAGACCGATGCCTCCTGAAAATATGCCGAAGAAGTTTTTCACTGGGATGTTTTCTATAAAAACTTGAAGAATTTCTCAAAACTATGTTTCTCCCCTCCCAGCCCACTTCACTCATCTCTTCAGCCTGGGCCCTGTAGGGTGTCTGCAGTTCTCATGCTAGAGAATCCCAAATGTCCAGCTTCCACTCGATAGATGCAGGTGTGTTCCCTGGGCCTCCCTGCCCTGTGTGTGCAAAGCTCCAGGGACCCAAGAAACACTGCTCTGCCGTCACAGCCGCCGACAGCTGCTGCTGGAGGCCAAGTCTGCCCAGAACACAGCGTCTTCCATCACTGGGTGTCCTCCTTAGGGGCTCCTGGAGAATAGGCAGGGGGGCTGGACACCGGAAGCAGGAAGCCAGGCCTTCTCCTGGCCCTAGAATCTCCGCCCAGCCCAGCACCCCTCTGTAAACACGGCCAGGTTCCTGCCAGTGATGTCAAGATCTAACAAACCATTTCTGTCCTGAGGATGACTCACGTTTCCCCTGTTTAAAAAGACATTGAATTGCAAACAATGGCGCCTAGTTCCAGCACTGCTTGTCTTACTGTCATGTGCCTCCCTGCTCACTGAAAGCCTCAGACACCAGCTGCAGGGGATTTCCAGGTCAGGGAAAATGAGAAATAGAAAGGAGAAACAGCAGTGCTGTCTGTGTAGGGCCTGGCTTCTTCCCACGTCGGCTCTCAGCCTGGGTCCTGAGGAGGCTGGCCTGGGTAAACCTGGATGCCCACCCTCGCCCCCAACCCCCGGACTACAGGCCTCTCATCCTGGAGGCAGCTGGGGGACAACCCCGCTGCACCTGAGCCTGGGTCATTCTTAGCAGCTCGCTCACGTCTCCAGCTGCAGTGAGAGCCACTGCCACACTGGCTCAAACCCCGACCACCCCGAAACAGGAAAAATGTCCCCAAGACAGCACATGGTCTTCTAGGAGTCCATTCACTGGCCTCACTTCTGCTGCCTTCCGCTGAAAGTCTCGAACCTGTGTCCTCCTCCGTGCGAGGGCTCTTTCTCTGCTCAGACACAAGACGCCTCCACCACCAGCCTTCTCCCCTCCAGTCTGATCCCACAGGCCGGCCTCTCTATGAAGTCAGCAAGGACTTCCATCAAGCTCCAGCCCCCTGTCTTTACTAACAGATGGTCCTGGAATCCCCCAGGATTCTCAAAGGTGGGAGCTGCAAACACCCAGCCGTTCCCAGAAGCCAGAGGGGTCAGATCTGGAGCCACCCACAGCTCCCGGTCCAAACTCACCACCAGTGGCCAGGGTACCATGTAAAACTTCAAGTGCAGCTGAAACAGGTAGAAGACGAAGATGACGATTGTCCCCAGCCAGAGGAAGACAGCGACGAACATCACCCAGCCGTAGGCGGGATACAGGTGGTATGGGGTGTCAGCAATCAGGGCCCACACCAGCAGCCCCACCACCTGGAGGGAGAAAAGAGGGCCAGAGTCAAGCAGAGTCCCCCAGAACAAATGCCGCTGGCCATTGCCATACCTAGTTCTCCCTGCTGAGACCATTTCTCAATAGTCGGTCAATACACAGCTCCTACTGAAGCCAGGCGTGATCGTGGGGTCCCACTTGGCAACTTTGTTCCCCTTTCAGGTCTCAGGATCTTATTAAAATACCTCCTCTGCTCCTGATCCAGGCCATGGTCTTTGCAACTCCGTATCAGAGAGCTGGACAATGACTAAGAATGACAGAAGAAGAATTGATGCCGTTGAGTTGTGGTGTTTGAGAAGAGAACAACAGTTCTGTCTTAGGGTAAAACCAAGTTGCTCCTTGGAGGCAAGGATTTAGAAACTCTGTCTCACACACTCTAGGCATGTGGCCAGGAGGGATCAGTCCCTGGAGAAGGACATCATGCTTGGAAGGATGGAGGGACAGTTCAAGAGAAGGCCCTGGATGGGATGGATTGACTCAGTAACTGGGGTAAAGGGGGTAGGTGTGTCGGAGTCGGTGAGCCCGGCTCAGGACAGGGCAGGGTTCACAGCTATTGTGCTGGGTCACTGAGTCCAAGGTGACTGGTTGGCACATAACAATTGCTCCATCAGTCTGGATTCCAGAACCGTCTTCCATGCTCACACAGCCCACCAGGCAGGCCCTGAATTGTCTGTTTCCTCCCCAAGCCTGGGAGCCCTCTGATCCTTGGCTGGGGTCATAGACGTTGCTGTAAGAACTACCAAGTCACCAGCACATCGCTGAGAGGAGAAACGAGAACAGCTGTATCCTCCTCCCCGCTGGGCCCGGCAGAGGCGTCACAAAGGTGTCGGTCAGTTCCTACCCACGTAGGCCTCATCCTAGTCGGACTCTCCTAATTGTCCTTACAGGTATCGCCATCTTACAGAGGAAAGTGGGCCTCAGAGAAGCTAACGGGCCTCCCTGTCCTAATGTTCTCAAGCGGCAGGATGGTGTCCCACACATTCAATAGCATGGACTCTGGGGTAAACCTCAGCCCCCTTTATCAGGCGTGTCCCACAGGACAAGCTGGTAACCTCTCTGTAAGAAGGGTAGAATGACCACACTTAGAACGCAAAGTTTCAGGACTCATGAGTTCAAGTGCATAGTGTTCCGATTAGAATCTGGCTGGCACACTCTTGGCTGTTAAGATCCCGGAAGAGGCACATTGCGTCTGCCTGGCCCTCCTGACTACAGGGAATTGACTGTAGTGGACAGGTTTGCTCTCTCCCTGGTGGATCCTAGGGGCTTTCTGGATACATCAGGCTGGTACAGCACAACGCAGGTCCCAGTGGTCCCGTCACACAGCTCCTGGCCCTGCCAGCACCTTACCTGCTGGCAGGGACACCCTGGGGCAGAGTGCCCTCCCTCCAGCACATGTGGCTGCACTGGGCTCTCCGGCAGCTAAGCAGGGCTCAGTTTTGACCACAAGGTGCTAAGAAGCCCGGTACTGGCACCTCAGTGAGCAGCTTGCTGATAGACAGTGAGGGGCTCCCTTCCTGTGGTCACTGCCCGAGCATGTGGCAGTGAGACCGGGCAGTGACCCAAGGGTGAGCCAAGGGTCAGGAATCAGAAAGCTGCCCAGGAGCAAGCCTCACCTGTGGCTGCCTGTATCGGCAGACAAAACGCTCCCTGGCTGCTAGAGCAGCTGAGGACCCTCCAAAGCACCCTGGACAGCCACCTGGGCGCTGGATGTGCTCCTGAGAGCAGGAGATGGCCAGAGCTGAAGGTCTGATTAGTCACTGACAGCATCCCCGCGATACACAGGGCTGAGACCAGCGGCTCGCTCAGGCGTCCAGCAGCCCCTCTGACTTTCCCCTCTTCTCTAAGGTGTGCCTCGCTTGGGAAGGGAAGGCCCCGCGTCCTCTCCTGCAGTAACACCGGGGAGGTGGTAGGTGGAGCCCGGCGGCCCTGACTAAGCCCTGTGAGGACGTGCTTGTCCTCTGGGGTTCCGCCTGGACCAGTGCTCTCGGGAGAGCTCCGTCCATCGCCTCACAAACCCTGGGGGCGCCACTCACACAGCTCCCCAACAGCACCCTGCACGCAGTCTGTGCTCACCATGTACGAGCCCACCAGAAATGAGTGACCATCACGTTCCTCACCCAAAATGGGCAGGCACTTGTCCTGCATGGGTACAGGGGAAGCAGGCATGAATCTGTGTCCACTCCTGCCTCTCACCCAGAAAATGCCATCAGCCAACAAAGAGGGTGTCAAATCCCCCTTCTCCCCACAGCTCTGCATCTCCAGAGCTCACCACCCTCAAGATAAGTCCCCAGGGGTCCCCCTCCACAGGTCCCCCCCCCATCTGTGCTTTCCTGTAAGCACAAGCAGGCTGGGTACATCACAGGGTGGGACAGAGTACCAGGGCCCTGCCCAGGGTCATAACCTCTTATCAATGAGAACCTAGAGTCAGGGTTTCACAGAGGGACACCCCCTCTCCTCCATCGTACAAGCAGCCCTCCCTCTCAGACACCCTGCCTGCAGCATCCCAGGGAGACCGAGGACACCCCACCCCCCAATCCAACTAGAGCTGAGCAAAGCCACGTCACAACACCTTTCCCAGGTGAGAAGGTGCATCCTGAGGACAAGCACCATCTTTTCACTTCAAGCAAGGTCCTGAAGGGTCTGTCACCACGGCCACAAATGCCTGGTTCCAGCTGAGCAAAACCAGCAAACTGAAAATGCAGACCACATGCAGCTCTTCCACTCACACCCATCTATTCATGGGATTATCCCAAGAGCACTTGGTCTGAACAGCCTCTAAACGCTCCTACTTCTGTGCTGGGCATTTGGGAAGCATCTCGCCGCCTTCTTTTCTTGGCTCCTCCCTTGAAGTAACGTCTGGTGCCATCCCCCAATGCCAATTCACAGTAGCCCCGTGTGGCGCAGAAGAACTGCCCCATAGGGTTTCCTGAACTGTAATCTTAACACAGCTCTTTCTCCACAGCTGCCGGGTGGGATGGAAACGCCAACCTTTTGCTACAGCTCAGTGCTTAACCACCACACCACCAAGGCCATCTTCCCAAATACCATTATTATTACTGGTACTAGTACCATTAATATTACTGTTTAAGGTCCCCTTTTCCAGATAGGGAATTGATGTTCTGGGGCAAACATGCCTGTGGCCCCCCAAGGACCTGATTTGAACTCAAAGCCGTCATCTTGAACGTTTGATGATGATGTTGTTATGTGCCATCGAGTCACCTGCGACTCATAGTGACCCTATATACTACAGCCCTAAACCCTGTGCCAATCTGTCTCTGACACACCCATCCTGATTATACTGAATCAATCTACCTTATAGAGGTTCTTCCCCTCCTGCACTGTCCCTCCACCCTCCCAAGCATGACATCCCTCTCCAAGGACGGGTTCCTCCTTGCAACATGTCCAAAGTATGTCAGACGTTTGATAGTCCCAGTTAAAAACTAGTTGTTGTGTGTGGACTGGTGGTGACCTTCTGGGTGTCAGGGTAGAACTGTACTCGTAGGACACTGAGAGGCTGGCTGATCTTCCTGGATAACCAGGCCCTTCTTCTGCAGGACTTCCCGTAGGCTCAGATTGCTACCCTTCAGTTAGCAGCCAAGTGTTAACCTTTTGTACGGCCCAGGTTTTTCACAGTTAGTGGTGCGGGCATGCAGGCACTTCAGCTGACTGGATGAGTCAGCGCCCGGGGTTCCCACCCCGTGTCTGCCCTCCACCCCGTGTCTGCCCTGAATTCCAGGTCGCCAGGTGGATGAGCAGTGGGAATTTCTCAGGTTCCTTCTGACCGCTGCCCTGGTCTGCTGCCCTGCCCCAGGACAAGGAAGGTCCGTCCTCTACCAACCAGACAGACAGGTTTCTCTTCTCTCACTTTCCTCAGCCCAAGAATCTGAAGGGAGGGCCCAGTGCAGGCTGCTGGGGAGAACCCAGCCCCCTCGCCAAGGGCACCTTCACATTGGTTGTCCCTGCTCAAGGCCCTTTCATCCTGCCCCTCGGGTCCTCCTCCTGTCCTGCCCCACAGCCACAGCCTCGCTAGAAGAAGGCTGCCCTCCAGGGGAGCTGGGCGGAGCCTGAGGGGGTCACGCTGCTAATCCTGAGGCGATATCACTCTCCGGTAGTTCAACTCCACCAGCCACCCCTCAGGAGAAAAACCGAAATCTCCTTTGTGATTCAGTTTCAGAAACCCGGAGGTTCCACCAGGAGGGCGTCTGTGCAGTGAGAACCCCACTTCAGAGGAAGGAATGTAGTCAAGGGGACACACCAGCAGCCCCCTCCCAGCTGTTGGCGGGGAGGGCAAAGCAGAAGTCCTGACTCTGCTAGGCCTCTGGGACTTTGCCCAGGCACACCCTCCGCTCCTGCTCCCCACAAAGGTTCACCTCCCACCTGAACGCCCTCACTGCGTTCCTGCACTCTGCAGACTCACTGAGCTGGCGCTGTGTACTTCGCTGCTGCTGTGAGATGCCTTCAAGTCAACTGCGACTCAGGGCGACCCTGCAACCAACAGAAGGGGCCTGGCCTGTCGCGTCCTCACTACCACTGACACACCTGGGCCCGTTATTACAGTCACCGTGTCAATCCACCTCGTCAAGGGTCCCCTCTCTTACCCTCCGCCTTTCCAAGCACGATGCCCTCCAAGGACTGGCCCCTCCCCATGACATGCCCAAGTATGGGGGACCAAGTTTCCCCATCCTTGCCTCCAGGACAGACATAAAAAGCCCTGCCCTCTTGGAGCTTCTGTTCTAGAAACGGGAAAGAAAACCCAGGCAAGAGTTAAAGGATGGATGGTGGAATTCATGCTGGGGAAAACTGCGCTCAGGAGGGGACAAGGAGGACGGCAGCCCAGCATGGTGACAATTTTAGATAAAAGGCCAGGAGCATGCTCACTGGGAATGTTAACAGCTGAGAGGAGGTAACGTGAAGGGACACAGGCAGTGGGGGGCTGTGTGGGACCCTGCCTCCCTCCGTGTCTCACATGTCTGTAAGCATCTCT